TCGGGTTTTCCTCACACTTTGAGCTCTCTCTCTCTGTCCCTGAGAGCTGAAAACTTTCTTATTGAGGCTGAGAGGTAACGTTTGCAAGTAGATAGTAAGTGGACAGGAGAAACAAAGAATAAAACAAAAACAATATTATCTCCTTCTCAGGCACCTCAGCCAAACAAACAGAGTAACTTCTGAAGCTTTCTAGGGCAGTTTTGGCATTTCCAAACAGTTCAGTTAAAACTTTTTGAGACTATGTTAGCTGCGCTAAACAAATTACGGGAAAAATAAAGGATTCCAGAACAACAGTCTGTAGTCCAAGAATTTAACTTAAAAGTTCAAAATAAATCAAAGGATATTAGAAAGTCAGTGTCTGAACTTGCCCTTGAGCTCGACTGTTGCAGCTCCATCGAAAGCCGGAAGCCATGTATTACTTTTTGTTTTTTCTAATCATTAGGATTAATAAGTAAATTCTATAAATCCAAAAAAAATATATTGTAAAAATGAACTAAACTATTTAAAATAGCCAGAAACCATTGATTGTTAGATTATCTTATCTCTCTGTTTTTAATTATTTTCATTTCCACTCATTTTGCTATTTTTAAAATGTGCTTTCATGATGTTCATGTTGCCAAAACAAAAATTGATTAGTGACAAACACATTGCTTGTAACTCATTAGTTTTAAAAGTGTGACTAATTTGACATCATCGAGGTTTTAGATGACAACAGAAGACTTGAAAAGATATATATTTGAATGCCAAAGTCAGTATTGTCCATGTTGTCATATTTCTGATTTATATCTATGGTTGTATAAGCTGGACAGTGAAGAAAGCTGATGGAGAGCGAACTCATTTTAAATAGGCTGCTGGATGAAAGTTCTGCAGTTTCATGGACTGCCAAAACAGTAAATAAATGAGCCCAAGAGCAAATCAAACTTCAACTCTTTGTTGAGGCTAAGATGAATAAATTGGTGCTGTTGTATTTTGAATATATCATGAGAAGAAAGTCAACAGTCATTAGAATCAGCCATCCCTAGTTGCCGTTTTTATTTTTGAGCATTTGATTATTTATAGATTTGAGTATCTTTAGGAATCTCGATGTCCTCCAACATGATTCTGTGGTCAACATTTGGTAGATGTTTACGATAGAGTTGCCCTGAAGGACCTAGAAATTCCTATAAATGTGTTTCTGAAAAATAGTTTTTCATGGTTTTTCTATTTTTGTGTCCTTGATTTCCATCAAAGAAGAGAGCATACTATAAGAACAAAGTGGATATTCACTCTATATTGCACCAGCAGGAGATCGTGCTGCCAGCTATTTGCATCAGCCTTGATCATTGAACGTATTTTGCTTAAATATAGTGAAGACAGAAATTGAATGGATTGGAACACTGCAACACTTAAATCTATGTGAATATTGGGTTGCTGTGAGTTTTCCAGGCTGTATGGCCATGTTGTACTGGTCCATTTAGTCCATTTAGAGGAACATCGAAGAAATGGAGTAGCCTTCATAATTAATAAGAAATTCGCTAAAGCGGTGCTTGGATACAACCCAAAAATGACAGAATGATCTCAATTCGAGTGCAAGGAAAGCCTTTCAACATTACAGTGATCCAAATATACGCCCCAACCACAGCTGCTGAAGAAGCAGAAGTAGATCAGTTCTATGAGGATCTGCAGGACCTACTGTATAATACACCAAAAAGAGACATTATTTTCATTACAGGAGACTGGAATGCCAAGGTGGGAAGTCAAATGACAACTGGGATCACAGGCAAGCATGGTCTGGGAGAACAAAATGAAGCGGGACGCAGGCTGATAGAATTTTGCCAGGAAAACTCGCTGTGTATACCGAATACTCTCTTCCAACAACCTAAAAGACGGCTTTATACATGGACCTCACCAGATGGTCAACACCGAAATCAGATTGACTACATCCTTTTGCAGCCAAAGGTGGCGGACATCCATCCAGTCGGTGAAAACAAGACCTGGGGCTGACTGTAGCTCAGATCACGAACTTCTTATTGCTCAATTTAGAATAAAACTAAAGAGATCAGGGAAAATACACAGACCAGTTAGATATGATCTCACTAACATTCCTAGCGAATATACAGTGGAAGTGAAGAACAGATTTGAAGGACTAGATTTAGTAAACAGAGTCCCAGAAGAACTATGGACAGAAGTCCGCGACATTGTTCAGGAGACGGCAACAAAGTACGTTCCAAAGAAAAAGAAAACCAAGAAGGCAAAATGGTTGTCTGCTGAGACACTGGAAGTAGCCCAAGAAAGGAGGAAAGCAAAAGGAAACAGTGAAAAGGGGAGATATGCCCAGTTAAATGCTCAATTCCAGAGGTTAGCCAGAAGAGATAAGGAACTATTTTTAAATAAGCAATGCATGGAAGTGGAGAAGACAACAGAATAGGAAGGACAAGAGACCTCTTCCAGAAAATTAGAAACAAGGTGAACCTATTCTGAGGTGTGACAGGACCTAACAGAAGATGAAGAGATTAAGAGAAGGTGGCGAGACTATACAGAAGATCTGTATAGGAAGGATAATAATATTGAGGATAGTTTTGACGGTGTGGTGAATGAATTAGAACCAGACATCCTGAGGAGTGAGGTTGAATGGGCCTTAAGAAGCATTGCTAACAACAAGGCAGCAGGAGACGACGGGATCCCAGCTGAACTGTTTAAAATCTTACAAGATGATGCTGTCAAGGTGATGCATGCCATTTGCCAGCAATATGGAAAACACAAGAATGGCCATCAGACTGGAAAAAATCAACTTATATCCCCATACCAAAAAAGGGAAATGCGAAAGACTGCTCAAACTTCCGTACAGTGGCCCTTATTTCTCATGCCAGTAAGGTAATGCTCAATATCCTGCAAGGAAGACTCCAGCAATACATGGAGCGAGAGTTGCCAGATGTTCAAGCTGGGTTTAGAAAAGGCAGAGGAACGAGAGACCAAATTGCCAATATCCGCTGGATAATGGAGAAAGGCAGGGAGTTTCACAAAACATCTATTTCTGTTTTATTTACTATTCTAAAGCCTTTGACTGTGTGGATTATCATAAATTGTGGCAAGTTCTTGGTGGGATGGGCATACCAAGCCACCTTGTCTCTCTCTCCTGAGGAATCTGTACAAGGACCAAGTAGCAACAGTAAGAACTGACCACGGAACAACAGACTGGCTCAAGATTGGGAAAGGCGTACGGCAAGGCTGCATCCTCTCACCCTACCTTTTTAACTTGTATGCAGAACACATCATGCGATGTGCGGGGCTGGATGAATGCAAAGCTGGGGTGAAAATTGCTGGAAGAAACATTAACAACCTCAGATATGCAGATGACACCACTCTGATGGCCGAAAGCGAGGAGGAGCTGAGGAGCCTTCTAATCAAGGTGAAAGAAGAAAGCGCAAAAGCCGGGTTGCAGCTAAACGTCAAAAAAACCAAGATTATGGCAACAAGAATGATTGACAACTGGAAAATAGAAGGAGAAACTGTGGAGGCCGTGACAGACTTTGTATTTCTAGGGGCAAAGATTACTGCAGATGCAGACTGTAGCCAGGAAATCAGAAGACGCTTACTTCTTGGGAGGAGAGCAATGTCCAGTCTCGATAAAATAGTGAAGAGTAGAGACATCAGACTGGCAACAAAGATCCGCCTAGTCAAAGCCATGGTATTCCCTGTAGTACCTACGGATGTGAGAGCTGGACCTTAGGGAAGGCTGAGCGAAGGAAGATCGATGCTTTTGAGCTGTGGTGTTGGAGGAAAGTGCTGAGAGTGCCTTGGACTGCGAGAAGATCCAACCTGTCCATCCTCCAGGAAATAAAGCCCGACTGCTCACTGGAGGGAAAGATACTAGAGACAAAGTTGAAGTACTTTGGCCACATCATGAGGAGACAGGAAAGCCTAGAGAAGACAATTATGCTGGGGAAAGTGGAAGGCAAAAGGAAGAGGGGCCGACCAAGGGCAAGATGGATGGATGGCATCCTTGAAGTGACTGGACTGACCTTGAAGGAGCTGGGGGTGGTGACGGCCGACAGGGAGCTCTGGCGTGGGCTGGTCCATGAGGTCACGAAGAGTCGGAGACGACTGAACGCATGAACAACAACAACATCTTCCTTTCTTATTCCTGATGTTTCGGCCACATCTATGGCAGGCATCCTCAGAGATTGTGAAGTCTGTTGGAAACTAGGAAAGTTAGGTTTATATATCTGTGGAATACCCAGGGTGGGAGAAAGAACTCTTTTCTGCTTGAGGCAAGTGTGAATGTTGCCATTGGCTACCTTGATTAGCACTGAATGGCCTTGCAGTTTCAAAGCCTGGTTGCTTCCTGCCTGGGAGAATCCTTTGTTGGGAGATGCTAGCTGGTTTCATGTCTGGAATTCCACTGTTTTCTGAGTATTGCTCTTAATTTACTGTCCTGATTTTAGAGTTTTTTAAATAGTGGTAGCCAGAATTTGTTCATTTCCTTTCTGTTGAAATTGTCCACATGCTTGTGGATTTCAATGGCTTCTTTGTGTGGTCTAACATGGTGGTTGTTAGAGTGGTCCAGCATTTCTGTGTTCTCAAATAATATGCTGTGCCCAGGTTAGTTCAGGAAACAGCCAGGCTTTGAAGCTGCAAGGCCATTCAAGACTAATCAAGGTGGCCAATTGCAATGTTTACACTTGCCTCAGGCAGACAAGAGTTATTTCTCCCACTTCGGACATTCCATATATATATAAATCCCACTTGCCTGGTTTCCAACAGACCTCACAACCTCTGAGGATGCCTGCCATAGATGTGGGCAAAACATCAGGAGATAATCTTTTGGAACATGGTCATACAGGCTGAAAAACACAAAGCAACCCTGTGATGTTGGCCATGAAAGCTTTCGACAACATATGTGAATATTTATTTCAGGAAGGGAGAAAGATTATGAATGGAAAGATATACATGTATAGTCTGAGAGATTTAGCAAGTGCACTTATGATGGCAAGTGAGTGCAGTTTTGTTTGTCTTTACAGACATGCATGGATCCCCGGAGCAAGCCAGCCTTCTTCACTGAGAAAACCATGGAGTCCTCCATCAAATATATTAATAAGAAGTTCCCCAACCTGGATACACGGAGCATGACGGTAAGATCTTGATCCAGAGCCAAGGTCTAGTGATTGGCTGCTGACTTGCTTGAATCATCCATCATTTTTGAGATACCAGGGTGGTACACGGGCATGGCAAAGGCAACAAAAACAGAGTATCATTACAAAAGAGAAGCAAATGTTTAGCTGTCTAGCTAAATGAAAGGTTTCTGAGCTGGAAGCAATTCTAACATCGTTGCCATTTGCACAGTTATGGGGAGTATACTTTTTGAACTCAGGTACTATAGCCTAGGAAGGTTTTTCCCTTCATTACACATAGTTCACTGCTTCTTGAACTGTGAGTCCTCATTGTAAATGGGGTCCCCTTAGCTTTTTCCAAATGGGGATTAATGTAAAGTTATCACTGAAGTTGCCTTGGTGTCATATATTTCAATCCATTGTGTTGCTTTTCTGCTTCAGCTTTATTTAGATTGGCTGCTTGTCATTTCTTTGGATTGTCATTACAGACAGTGTTTACCAAACTGCATTTTATGACTTCTGCATGCTTTTCATAAGGTTTATCTATCATTCTGTTTGTTTAACCTGCTTTCCTTTTTCATTTAAGATTGTATCTTATCTGTGTGTGCTATTTTTGTATATTCTTCTGTTGTCTGCTAACATACTGTACTTTTTGTATTTATATGTTAACTAACTTAAGTACCTGGAGATGCCCAGCTTAGGTATTTTTGAAATTATCACTATTAGAAGTAATTATTGTTTGGTTTTGGATTTTAGGGATAGTCGCATTAGAGATACATATGGCTCTATGGCGATACTACAGAGAATCTGTTGGGTTTTCTTGGTGAGATTTCTTCCTAAGAAGTTTGCCATAGCAAACTCTGGGGCTGAGAGAGAGTGATCATTGGAGGATTGAATGGCCAATTGGTGATTCAAACTCTAGTCTACAGAGTAATACACATAAACCACTATACCACATTGGTTCTCATCTGCAACTTTAGGTAAGGTAAAGGTTTGCCCTGTCATTAAGTCTAGTCATGTCCAACTCTGGGATGTGTTGCTCATCTCCATTTTTAAACCAAAGAGCTGGCGTTGTCCATAGATGCCTCCAACATCATGTGGCCAGCATGACTGCATGGAATGCCCATACCTTCCTGCCGCAGCAGTATCTATCGATCTACTCACATTTGCATGTTTTCGAACTGTTAGGTTGGCAGAAGCTGGAACTAACAGCAAGAGCTCACCCTGCTCCCCAAATTGGAGCCACCGACTGTTCTGTCAGCAAGTTCAGCAGCTCAGTGGTTTAACCCGGTGCGCCACTGGGGCAACATTATTCAGCTCAAAATCCCTGTCTTAACAGTTTGCAAAAAATAAGAAACAGTCAAAAGCATTCAAATGATCTGAAGAAACAAAAGAAAAATAGTAGTAATATAATCTTTAGAAAGAAATGGAGAAGCCATTCTAAACAAACAGCCAGTCAATTAGTTAAAATAAAATTTGCCTTTTGCTTTTATTTAGTTTGCTTTTTCCTTCATCCTGACATGTTTCCTTACACACCGTCTGTCTGTCTGTCTGTCTATGTATCTAAAAATTTAAACCCAACTTCTTAAAATGCTGCTGGAGAATAAACAAGAAGCACTCTAGTACTGTTGTTGAACGGTAAACCTATTCACCACTATGTACTTGTTCATTTTCACAGCAACATTTGGGCCCAGTGCACAAAGACAAAGCAGATATTTTCCGGGCTCTCGGTGCCTACTATCACACCTTTGTGGATGTAATGGAATTTCGGGTGAGTATTAGGATGGTTTGCTTTAGGTTTGCTGTGTGTTTAGGTGCACTCTGTTCTGATGCTGGAAGGCTTCTATCCTTGTGTTCTATCCTGTCTACACCAGTTGTTCCCAATCTTTGGTCTATGGACCACCATTGGTCCCCAAGAACTAAAATATGGTTCGCGACCTCACTGTTACTACACCGTTGCAACAAGAGTGACTGTTCTCATAAAACCCTCTTATAGTCGCATTGAACTGATCTGGAGCTGTTGCACACTGGGAAAGAATCTGAGATTTCAAACAACACCACTCTTGAACTGGTTCCTGAGGTTTTTGTTCAGGTCAGTGGTTCTCAGCCTGTGATCCGTAGGCTACCAATGATCCCCAAGAACTAAAATATGGTCCACGGCCTCTCCATTACTATACCATTGGAACGAGAGCAGCTGATCTCGTGAAACCCTCTTATAGTGCCAAGGCAACAGGGATGTTAGGAGGGGAGAGGCTGGCTACCCATGAAAGGCAAAGGTACAACAAGTCTCCTGACTGCTGCTTCTCCCCCCCCCCCCCCCCCCCCCCCCCCCCGAGTGGAGCCATTCCATGTGGTGCCCGGAAACGGGGTCACCTTAGTGTCTTCGTTTTTAGGCCTGTTCCTGGGGTTATTTGGGGTTCTGATGCAGAACATTGCCTTGGATACACCACATCAGCTCTAGATTATTAAATATGGTTTTCTGTGGGCAAGCAGATGAAGACTCCTGAACGGCATATGTTCTGTATCAGAAACTAGAGCTGATGTGGTCCAATGCAATTTTCCGAATCAGTACCCCAAATAACCAAACTGAATGTAAAGATGAACAAAAACTTGATTCGTAACCCTTTTAGTACTAATGTTGGAGAATGGTCCCTGGTCAAAGTGGTCCCTTTTCAAGTGTTCCCTAGTCAAAAAAAAAGTTGGGAACCACTGGTCTGTGCTGTGGAATGAATGCAGTGTGACTTCATTTCAATTGCAATGGCTCTATGCTATGGGATCCTGGGATTTGTAGTTTGTAGATACACCAATACTGTTCAGGAGATAATGCAAAAGACCTTGTAAAATTACAACTTCCACGATTCCATATCTTTGGGTCATGGCAAATAAAGTGATGCATTGATTCTTAGAGATGCAAGCATGCTCTATGGAAATTTCCTTCTTAAACAATTATTATAAGTGCAGAAGCCTTGTTCTCTTTCCATTCACAGATAATTGCCAGGTCCAAAAACAGTATGCTGCTCGAAGCAGTAGTCAAGATGATACCTTTCTTTCATGTTCCCCTTGCAGAATGACAACTGAACCTTACTTTGATATGGCTGATGGGACCCCATATTCCATCACAGTAAAGTGGGCAATCTTAAGGGGTCCAGGGCATGCCATATGGTTGCAGCATACAGTCTCTATTTTCCCACAAAGAGGAGTAGCCAAGGCATGTTGTTTCTATCATTAATGTTCAGCATCCAGTCCCTGCCACCTGTGGAGACTCCTCATATCTTATGGGAAGGCTGCTCCATGTATAGGATCCTGCCTCATTTCCAAACAATTGGTCCGCACAACTACCTGGTAATGCAAATTAGGCCAAAGGAGAGCAACTGATGCTAGATTACTCAGTGAGTTTTGGGGCTTTTCATAAAATGAATAAATCACTGCTATTCTCCTGCAGCGGCACAGCAGTGCTTGATTTCTTTCTCGAGTATTCGCAATGATGAAGGAAGAAGAGAGTACTGCATGCTCTGTTCATCCAAGAGCTGGCCTAGAATACCTTGTCTGAAGGAACAGGCAAATTGTGTCTTTTCCCTGTGTTGTCGAAGGCTTTCATGGACAGAATCATTGGGTTGCTGTGAGTTTTCTGAGCTGTATGGCCATGTTCCAGAAGCATTCTCTCCTGACATTTCACCCACATCTATGGCAGGCATCCTCAGAGGTTGTGAGGTCTGTTGGAAACTAGGCAAGTGAGGTTTATATATCTGTGGGAGAAAGAACTCTTGTCTGTTTGAGGCAAGTGTGAACGTTGCAATTCTCCACCTGGAGTAGCATTAAATGACCTAGCAGCTTCAAACCCTGGCTGCTTCCTGCCTAGGGGAATCCTTTGTTGGAAGGTGTTAACTGGCCTTGATTGTTTCATGTCAGGATCCCCCCCCCCCCCCGCCCATTAATGTTTTCAAATACTGGTAGCCAGATTTTGTTCATGTTCATGGTTTCCTCCTTTATGACATGGAACAAGCCTGACATGAAACAATCAGGGCCGGCTAACACCACCCAACAAAGGATTCCCTCAAGCAGGAAGTAGCCAGGATTTGAAGCTGCAAGGCCATTCAATGCTAAGCGAGGTGGCCATTTGCAACATTCACACTTGCCTTAGGCAGACAAGTTTTCTTTCTCCCACTCTGGACATTCCACAGATATATAAACCTCACTTGTCTAATGTCCAGAAGACCTCACAACCTTGGAGGATGCCTGCCATAGATGTGGCCGAAACATCAGAAGAGAATGCTTCTGAATGTTGGCCATATAGCCCAGAAAACTCACAGCAACCCTATCCCGTCCCATTTTACCCATGGATGTTGGCAGGCACAGCAAATTAATTTTACTTCAGAATGGGAAACAAAACATCATCTTGTACCATACTCAAGGGCATGACATGGGTGAAATACTGACTGTATGATACTCCCAGCTCTGTTCTCCAAGATAGTGGAATAGCTAAGAAACTGTTTAAACTGGTTGCTTAATTCTGGTTCATTGTAGTCCCAGATCCAATTCTGGATCTCTTTAAATAGATTGGAATTTCATGTTCAGTATGAGAAAATACCTAAATGTCCCCCAGTTTTGTCTTTCTCTGACTTCCGGAGAGTGGAGTCTTAATTTCCTCCTATCTTGAACCTGTGGAAGAAGGTTAAACTCAAGTTCAGTGCCAAATCCTTGCAATTAACACATCACACGGCCACCGGCAAAATCTTATTTATTTTCTAGCATTTGTTCTAAGAGTGGATAAATTGCATTTTCTCCATGGTATAAGATTATATTTTCAAAAGCACAGCATCTTCCTCTTCCTGCAATGTAAATCATTTTTGGAATAAAAACACTATGCAGAATCTAATGTACCCAAATAGATTAGAAATGAAAAAGTAGTTATACTTGTTTGCAACAGGCATTTTCTAAATAAGCAACGATAACATCCAAATAAATAATCTTGACACATTTGTGTTTCATAAGAAAGGCAGCTTCTTAAAAGAAACCATTTAAAAAGGGAAAGATGGAGTGCTCGTTCCTGTTTAAATGCAGAGAGTTTACAGCTGAATACATAATCAACTAGATCGTTAATGTCAAAGAATGGAAAAACAAACATTTATCAGTGCCATCAAAACAGTCCTGAGCAAAGTTATTCATTTAGTTTTCAGGAGATCATGAGCTAAGAAAAAGGTAGCTCATTTTATTCTGAGTTGATATTTTCAATCCTTCTGTTTTAAATTAGTACTAGCCGTCCCCTGCCAGGTGTTGCTGTGGCCCAGTCTGGTGATCTGGAAAAATGAAGTAATGAGAAAGTGTTGGTTTCTATTATATATAATTTCTTTATGCTTGTGGGTAAACGGTATTTCTTGCTGTTTCTTTGTCAGTGTTGATATCAAGATTGTCTGGTTTGCCTACTCTGGAACATGTAACATAGAATTGTCCTTCTTTAGGGGTTCCTTTCAAGTCTATGATACTATGTATGTGTGTGAATCATATATATATCTATCAATATCTATGGCTGGATGGCTCTTTGTCAGAGGGCTTTGATTACGTTTTCTTGCCCTGGTGAAGGGAGTTGGACTGGATGGCCTTAAGTATTTTATGTTGGTCATGGGGGTTCTGTGTGGGAAGTTTGGCCCAATTCTGTCCTTGGTGGGGTTCAGAATGCTCTTTGATTGTAGGTGAACTATAAATCCCAGAAACTACAACTCCCAAATGTCAAGATCTATTTTTGCCAAACTCCACCAGTGTTCACATTTAGGTATATTGAGTATTCGTGCCAAGTGTGGTCCAGATCCCTCATTGTTTGAGTCTACAGCGCTCTCTGGATGTAGGTGAACTACAACTCCCAAACTCAAGGTCAATGCCTATCAATGCCCATGTTGGTCATGGGAGTTCTGTGTGCCACGTTTGGTTCAATTCCAGCATTGGTGGAATTCAGAATGTTCTGATTCTAGGTGAACTATAAATCCCAGCAACTACAACTCCCAAATGACAAAATTAACCAAATGTCCAAATTTGGTGTCAATTCGTCAAGTAGTTTTTGAGTTATGTTAATCCCACAAATGAACATTACATTTTTATTTATATAGTTGGGGCAATTGGTCATGAGGAACAGAAACAAGAATTAGAATAACAGAATCATAAAATGAGAACGGGGCACAAGGGCCATCTAGCCCAATTTCCTGTCATACAAGAATACACAAAGTACTCCTTAAAGTGCCCATCCCAACCTCAGTTTAAAGATATCCCCAGAAGGAGAATACATTATCTTCTAAAGCAATCTATTCCACTGCCAGACAGCTCTTCCAGCTTTGTAGGGGGATTAAAAGAGAGCGACAAGGAGGGGAAAGTTATGAAAAATGGAGTGATGGCAAGGAATACATATCTCATAGCTTTTAAGTACTCCTGTTCCATAAAGCAGCCTGCTGTCTGATCTAAGATAGGAATTCAGGACATGTGCTTAGAAGATCAAGGTGCTGGTTATTATGAAATGCAGTTGAATTCCAGAATGACAGGGGAAAAAAAGAAGTGTCTGCTGTTTTTACATTATCTTCTATAACACCCAATTTATTCTTTAGGACCATGTCTATGAGCTGCTGAACACCATTGATGCCAGCCAGTGCTACTTTGACATTGTGAGTGCTGTGTGAATAAAAATAATAGTTTATGTTTACTTCTGCATGTAAAATAATAAAGAACCATTTCTGACACACAGTGTAGACTTCTGAGTGACTGAATATAAACTATAGACATGATAATGTTTTGGCTGTGTTGGGATGCTGGGCTGTAAGTGTAAATAGTCTACAATATAAGTTGGCTGCCATCTGTCTTGTTTGTTTGTTTGTTTGTGTAATTTATATTTCTCCAGTTGCCTGACATGTAACACAAGGTCCTAGTTATGGAGGCATAGTAACAAAAGTAAAAAAATGAATTGTCAAAGGCTTTCATGGCCGGAATCACTGGGTTGCTGTGAATTTTCCGGGCTGTATCGCCATGTTCCAGAAACATTGTCTCCTGACATTTTGCTCACATCTATGTCTGGCATGCTCAGAAGTTGTGAGGCAAGTGAAGTTTATCAATCTGTGGAATGTCCACAATGGGAGAAAGAACTCTTGTCTGATTGAGGCAAGTGTGAACGTTGCAATTGGCCTCGCAGCTTCAAAGCCTGGCTGGTTGCTGCCCAAGGGACTCCTTAGTTGGGAGATGTTAGCTGGCCCTGATTGATTCTTGCCTGGAATTCCACCATTTTTTGGGTGTTCCTCTTTATTTACTATCCTCATTTTAGAGCTTTTTAATACTGGTAGTCTGATTGTGTTCATTTTCATGGTTTCCTCCTTTCTGTTGAAAATGTCCACATGTTTGTGGATTTCAATGGCATCTCTGTAGTCTCTGTGTAGGCTTTGAAGCTGCAAGGCCATTCAATGCTAATCTAGGTGGCCAATTGCAGCATTCACACTTGCCTCAAGCAGACAAGAATTCATTTTCCCACCCTGGACATTCCACAGATATATAAACCCCACTTGCCTAGTTTCCAACAGACCTCACAACCTCTGAGGATACCTGCCATAGATGTGGATGAAACGTCAGGAGAGAATGCTTCTGGAACATGGGCAAACAGTCCGGAAATTTGATGCCTCCTTCCATTGGGTGTCTTGGGGCATGTCCCACGCTCTCAGCCCTAGAAAACCCTGTGACAAGGTCACCATAAGTTGGAAACAACAGGAAGAAACACAGCATCAACAACAAACCACTGTCTTTATCTTCTTTCTCCTGTGCTTTTTCCCCTTTTGCAGCATGTGAATTACGATTTCACCAAGAATTACCTTGACCTAATTGTCACCTATGCATCTGTCATCTTACTCCTTTCCCGCATTGATGACCGCAAGGCCCTGATTGGCTTGTACCACTGCACCTATGAGATGATCCATGGAACCAGGTCAACACTGTTTATTTATGCAAAAGATTGTATGCCACTCTTTGACTCTTAAGATGTTTGAACTACAGATCCTCCAGCCACTTAACCACTGGCCTACCAGATAAGGCTGATGGGAGTTGTAGGCAAAAATGTTCAAAAATTAAAGTTTTCCCACCCCTCTTTTAAGAGAAGCCCTTCCAGGTGACTATAAAACAACACTTCAAGTAGCTGCATTTCATAAACAGTAATGATTATAATTGAAGTAATAATATAGACAAAATCAGTATCATGTATAAAACAAGAATCTAGTCCACCCTCTTGTTCCAATATTGCATACCTAATGCATAAAATAATCTCTTCCAGGCCCTTTCAGAACTTTTCTTAATGAAAATTAGGGAAGAGATAACACAAGATCTCAAAACTAAGTATGCAACCAGTGGGATACTATTATAGTTCCATCCTAGGAAGCAAGAACCTGCAGTTCTTCATATATGGTTGTTTCAGGGGAAAATGTGGACAATGTTAGAGGCGATGGTCACTCTTATTTTTGAGAAACACCTCTGACTCATTGCTTGTCTGGTAACAGTGATGCCAGCTATCCTCGTTTGGGTCAGATGATCCTTGAATATGAGAACCCCTTGCGCAAGTTGATGGAGGAGTTTGGACCCCATACCAAGGTGAGAAATAGCGATGAGATCTGTTCATGACCAATCTTTTATTTTCTATTTATTTATTTTATTTGGTGTACTTCTACCCCGCCCTTCTCAACCCCCGAGGGGGGACTCAGGGCGGCTTACAAAAAGGCACAATTTGATGCCTACATAGTAATACAAATAAGATATAGACAGCAATTAAAAACAGTTATAACAGTTAAGAACAATCAATATATATCACAGTCAATAAAAAACAATCTTATGCTCTTAAGGAGACGTATCAGTAGAATTAACATCTTATTGTCTAAGATACACAATATTTTCATTGTTGTAATTCTTTCTCAACAATACATTAAGAGTTTCATTGTGACAGACTCCAGATTCAGTAGTTGTGTTTTATAGGTCAATATGCCTTTTGGATGCATGCATCTTTGTGAGTGCTCCTAAAGTTCCCTTTAGACCAGGAAGTTGCCATCTGTTTGTACCAGTCTGTGAAATTCTCTTAGAGCCTATAAGGGAGACAAAGAATAGGTTCAGATGACAACTTTCTACAGTCACAGTTGAGCACCTGAAGCTAGCAAATTACTATCAGATTTGGAAGGAAAAGGTGGGATCTCTGGCTATATCAGTGGTTCTCAACCTGTGGGTCCCCAGGTGTTTTGGCCTACAACTCCAAGAAATCCCAGCCAGTTTTCCAGCTGTTAGAATTTCTGGGAGTTGAAGGCCAAAACATCTGGGGATCCACAATTTGAGAATCATAGAATCATAGTTGGAAGAGACCTTGTGGGCCATCCAGTCTAAGCCCCTGCCAAGAAGCAGGAAAATCGCATTCAAAGCATCGCCATCCAGCCTTTGCTTAAAAGCCTCCAAAGAAGGCGCTTCCACCACACTCTGGGGCAGAGAGTTCCACTGCTGAACAGCTCTCACAGTCAAGAAGTTCTTCCTAATGTTCAGATGGAATCTCCTTTCTTGTAGCTTGAAGCCATTGTTCCGCGTCCTAGTCTCCAGGGCAGCAGAAAACAAGCTTTTCTCTCCTCCCTATAACTTCCTCTCACATATTTATACATGGCTATCATGTCTCCTCTCAGCCTTCTCTTCTTCAGGCTAAACATGCCCAGCTCTTTAAGCCGCTCCTCATAGGGCTTGTTCTCCAGACCCTTGATCATTTTAGTTTCCCTCCTGCGGACACATTCCAGCTTGTCAACATCTCCCTTCAATTGTGGTGCCCAAAATTGGACACAGTGTGATTCCAGATGTGGTCTAACCAAGGCAGAATAGAGGGGTAGCAGGTCTTCCCTGGATCTAGACACTATACTCCTATTGATGCTGGCCAAAATCCCACTGGTATATATGGTGTCACAAAGCCATGGTTAATGTACCTCAGTATTGTGTGGATACATTCTGGAGAACTTGTGGACTTTCAGATTTTGATTATCTATTCCTCCCATCATCCCTCATCACTGCCTGGGCTGGCTGAGGCTGATGGGAACTGGAGTCATACAACATCAACAAAGACAGACATTGCCAGCCCTGGTCGAGTTTTACTGGTTGTGGCTTTGAAAAGTAGTTTTCTTAGTACCTGATATCCTTTTTCTTATTGAAGATCCTAGGGATCTAATCTCACTGTTCAAAGCCTGTACCTTTATAGTAAGCACGTATGACCCAAATCCATATCACAATGGGATGTAAAATTGTGCAGGGAGAGAGCTTTATCTTTCTTTAACTGTTTCTTTTTTTAAAGGCTCCCTTAGTGCCAATCAATGTGTTTTTCTTATTTAAAACCCTTGCATAGGAAAAGCACTGGGGATGTTTATACTTCATTCTCCCGTGTGTACCAATCTGGATCTAGATTGGAGCTGTGTATGAGAACAAAAAAGCAAATTCTGTAAGCTGCACAAAAGATATTTAATGAGCTATGCAGATTAACACTAGTTCCTTCCACAAATGTATTTTGGGAATATGCAAGGTGAAACGCATATTCTGTGCTTTACTAATAATGTAATATAATATAATATATAATATATTGTATATAATAAAATATTTATATTATAATATAACACAATATAATTCAAATAATACTAATACAATATTATAATTATATATTTTATATTACATGTAATATTACTAATAATATTATAATATAATGGTATAGTACAATATAGTAATATATAATACTGATATTGCACTATGCTAATAATATAATACATTGTATGTATATATATCTTGTAAGCCGCTCTGAGGCCCCTTCGGGATGAGAAGGGCAGCATATAAATGATGTAAATAATAAATAAATAAATAAATAAATAAATAAATGCAGATCTGTCTTTTTTCTCTCTCTACTCTTCCTTTCTGCCCTGTTGTCACTTTCTGCACCTAATGGCCCTCTTTCCCCAGGCTGTGAGCAACGCCCTTCTCTCAGTGCACTTCCTCTTTGCCCGGAGAAACCACTCCGCTGAGCAGTGGCGAAGTGACCAGCTCTTCAGTCTGATTAGCAACCCTGCAGGCATGTTGGCTCCTGTCAGTTCGGACACGGTGAGTATGTGTATGCTTCTCCAGTACAGTCCAAGCCAGGCTTTTACAAGGATCATCAAAAATGCAAGGTTTTGCATTTTGCATGAGTAATACCTTTGAGAAGTTTGTATCATTTTCAGTAACATAAATGAGTAAATAGCCATCCAGTGAGAAAATTCTGCACTGATTTGAACTAACCTGAAGAGACAGGTCTCTTGATTGCAATGTCAGCATTCTACCCCTGTAATCAATATCTAATTCTCTGGAGCTAGAACCTGAACAGTGGCTGACAGTGATGCCAGCTGCTTCCCATATGTACATAGCAAAACCTTGCTACTCTACACTGTTTAGAAAAATTCCCTGCACAAATAAATGTGAGTGAGAGGAGGGGGGAACCACATGATGGGGAGAGAAAAGATCAGCCTTGATTTACACAGGTGGAAAAGGATGTTCTACTTTTTTAATTCTCTCAGATGGCTTGTGAATACCTATCTCTGGAAGTTTTGGAACGATGGATTGTGAGTAAGTCACCATCTTGTACTTTACTGTGCTGTTATTCTTGAAAGGGCCAGCAGTGGATCCTAAAGCCTAAATCTCCCTGTTAGGGAATATCATATTCGGTCCATGGAGCCCCCAGTGGTGCAGTGGGTTAAACTCCTGTGTCAGCAGGACTGAAGACCAACAGGTTACAGGTTCAAATCTGGGGAGAGCATGGATGAGCTCCCTCTGTCGGCTCCGGCTTCACAGACGGGGACATGAGAGAAGCCTCCCACAAGGATGGTAAAACATCAAAACATCCAGGCGTCCCCTGGGCAACGTCTTTGCAGATGGCCAATTCTCTCACACCAGAAGTTATTTGCAGTTTCTCAAGTCTTTCCTGACATGAAAAAAAAATCAGTCCATGGACTTACCAAGCCCCCACTGGTCAATGTGGACTTTGGTAAACCTCTAGAGGACATTATTTATAACAAAAATCTCTGTCTAGAGAGTTGTCCCTTTGTCACAGCCTAAAGATGCAGAAACATTTGGAGGCCATTTTCATGTATACAGTGATTTGGTGGGTTAAACCGTTGTGCCAGCAGGACTGCTGACCAAAAGGCTGCAATTCGAATCTGGGGAGTGGGGTGAGCTGCCGTCTGTCAGTTCTAGCTTCCAATGCGGGGACATGACAGAAGCCTCCCACAGGATGGTATAACATCTGGGTGTTCCCTGGGCAACATCCTTGCGGACTGCCAATTTTCTCACACCAGAAGCAACTTGAGTCTCAAGTCACTCCTGACATGAAAAAAGTGAATATTGATGAAGCTATTTATACTCTCTTTTCTAATCTCCATGTATTTGGCACAAAGCAGGCATGTAGCTGGGCGGGGGGGGGACGGGGACTGAGGGGCTTCAGCCCCCCCCCCCAAAATTCTCAGGGTAGTCCATGAGAAGGCCTTACTGGTACATTATTTAAACTATCATGTTTATTCATATCATGATCTGATCACCATGCTCAATATATCCCATATGCATGGGGGTATTGGGGTAATGATACAAAAGGTTTGCTGGGGTAGATCCTCCCCCCCCCCCCGAATCAAAATCCTGGCTATGGGCCTGGCACCAAGGTAACCAAACCTGGTACAAAGAAATGCCGTGGTTTGTGATATATCTGCTTAAACAGATATTTTTCCTGCTTGTTGAATTGGAAAGGAACAGATGCTGTCTGGAACAGTGGGAATTGTTGTTGACTGCCTCCTTCTTCTGTAGTTGGATTCTTACTATGCCACAGCTGCTTGGGCTCAACACAGAGCTGCCTGGATCTGTGGCGAGCAGCTCTCCGGAGCTCACTGTACATCACTCTAGTACGGGATGAAGTGCTTCCTGTTCACAAGGTCATAGAGGAGGCCTTCAGTGGAATCAAAGGGTAAGTGACAAAGAGAGGTTTCTTTAACCAATAAGATCATGGTACCACAGAGGTTAGAGCCGGAGTTAAGAATCTTTGTCTTTCCAGTTGTTTTGAACAGTTACTCTCATTCCTTAAATATGACTTTGGGGGGCTTCTGAGAGTTGTAGCACAAAACATTGCAATTGAAAAGGAAGGGGCAAATATTTCCTTCACTTTGAGGGACCATTGGTAGAGTGACTAGACCTGGAAATTTCTTTTTTTGCAGAGGAGGCAATTTTTTCCATGTCCAGGAATGGAAAAATGATTGCACATGTTGAGGTTCCTTCTTCTTGATTCATATTACTGGTATAGTAGGCTACTTGAAGCCATGGTGGTGCAATGGGTTAAACCCTTGTGCCAGCTGAACTGCATACCAGAAGGTTTGCAGTTCAAATCCACAAGATTAGGTGAGCTCCTGTCTGTCAGCTCCAGCTCCCCATGCAGGGACATGTGAGAAGCCTCCCACAGGATGGTAAAGCATCCAGGCGTCCCCTGGGCAATGTCCTTGCAGATGGCCAATTCTCTCACACCAAACTCACACCACACTTCTGACACGAAAAAAGTAGGCTACTGGACCATCTATGCCAGGTTTTACCTACCTGGTGTCCTCCAAATCTGGAGGACTACAGTTCCAGTCACCTGGGAGTTGTACTCAGATATCCGGGAAGCACCAGGTTAAAGAACTGTGATTAAGCTAACACACTTTTCTAAAGTGCAAAAAAAAAATATCTAACTGGTCATTTAGTTTAACTTTCAGCCTAAAACAGATCAGTTAGTCTAAAGCAGTTGGTAGATTCCTGTTCCTCTCCTGCTTTGTTCTGTGGCTAACACAGCTTTCTGGAAATCTCTAGGCATTGTGTCACTTCTCCCTTTAAACCTTTGATCCTTTCCAAAAATATTACGAAACACGGAGGAGCATTGATATTTCTAAGCTAAGGATTTCCTTCATGCCATTGAATTTTGAAAACATTTTGTTTCCCCTATTCCCACTAACCAGGTGAAGCCAAACATCACAATACATCTCCTCCTTTTGCTTTCTTTTTAGTTATGGCAAACGTACAGCTGATATCAAAGAATGTAAAGAGTATGCTGTGACACACAGGTAGGAATGTGTCTTTCCTATTCTATTCCTTATTTCTGTTTGCCATGTACTGCATGTTGCTGTACTTTGCCTGCAAGATATTCAGGTTTCTTCTGCTTCATGGTTTTTCATAGCACCTTTATGTTTTGTCTGTTCCCTTGGCATTTTCCTTCTTTGGTTTTAAGATACCCCATCGTTTCTGTTTCTTAAGTATGTTGTAACAAACCCTTAAAGGGACGCAGTGGCACAGAGGGTTAAACTGCTAAGCTGCAGAACTTGCTGACCGGAAGGTCGGTTGTTTGAATCTGCGGGACGGGGTGTGCTCCTGTTGTTAGCCCCAGCTTCTGCTAACCTAGCAGTTCAAAACATGCAAATGTGAGTAGATCAATAGGTAGCTCTTCGGCGGGAAGGTAATGACACTCCATGTAGTCATGCCAGCCACATGACCTTAGAGGTGTCTATGGACAGTGCCGCCTCTTCGGCTTAGAAATGGAGATGAGCACCAACTCCCAGAATCGGACATTATTTTATTTTATTTATTACGGTTGCTTATACCCCGCCCTTCTCACCCGGGGGGACTCAGGGTGGCTTACACAAACAAGGCACAATTCGATGCCTGTATTACAAAAACATAACATCAAAAACATAACATCAATAACAACAATAATTATAACACTGATAACAATTAACGTAAACAATCAATATTATCGGCAGGAATAGCCATAAACCCGTAAAAACAATTAAAACAATAAAAGCAATTAATACAATAAAAGCAAAAGACATGACTATACTTAATGTCAAGGGGAAACTTTTACCTTTACCTTTACCTTTAACAAACCCTTGTATGCTGGATATTCCTCATGGAGGCTTCAATTGTATGCAGATTTCTCCGGGAGTGTTCCCCACTGAAATAAATTGAATTTTCGTCAATAAATTGAATTTTCCCCAAAGTAATTGTGTAGAGCCCTTCACCCTTCTAGATATCATGTCATGGAATGCAGTTGTACCCTAAAGTATGGGGCATGGTTATTTACCTTACAGCATCTAGTGCCATAACATTATCAGGTGCCTATTGATACTTTGGTCCAGCTTAGTTCTTTTTTCATATTTTCTCTATGCAGTAGTATTTTAGGAATCAGCTGAGTTATGATTTCTAATAGCAGCAGCATTATGATCTCCTGAAGCATTGTGTGAATATGATTGCTTCTGTTGCCCTGCCTTTTCCTATATAGGAGATATGAGGGAGCGAGCAGAGCAACTGTGAAACTTTGGTTCAGTTGTATTATTGTTGCTTAATTCTTCAAGGAGAGCAGGAATTTCAGTGAAGAGGAGGGGGTTTTTCAGAGAGGGGGGAGCCTCATGGTGAGGTTCTGTGAGTTGGTGGGCCAGATTTTTTCATCCCTGATGGGCAGGATTGTTCTTTAAATCAAATAAGAAATGGGAAACACAGCCCACAGGTGTCTGTTCCCTTCGAGTTCCTGCCATCCACCTAAACCTCTTTGCTGCATATCATAAATGTTTCCAAAGCATTTGAAGATGAAAAGTAAATATAGAGTCGGAAGAGACCACACAGGCCATCCAGTCCAATACCCTGCCATGCAGAAAAACATACTTAAAGCACCCCCATACGTTCCTTCCAGCATTATAGCCATATCTCTGCATGTCAGTTCTTGGAGAGCAGGGACGTTGAGGTGGAGCATACTGCACTTTTTTTGTAAGATTTTCTATTGGCATCCGGTTTGCCAATGTAGGTAATATTTTCGTCTCATTCAGCAAGGCTCCTACACTGACGCTATTCAATAGCGATACAAAGTGAATGCATGGGAGGAAATGCAGAGGAACCACACTGTATTTATTCCTACTATGGATGTAAATGGTTACACTGGGGCTATAAAATAGGGACACAAAGTCAATGAGTGGGAGCAAATGCAAAGAAACCACACTGTATTTATTTCTGTTGTTGGATGTAAATGGTGCCAATGAAAATCTTGGGTTAGAAGCGGCAACTCTGTAATGATTTTCCAATGAAACGAGGTCCAAGTTTTTGTCAAAGGCTTGTTGGAAATTAGGCAAGTGGGGTTTATATATCTGTGGAATGTCCAGTGTGGGAGAATGAACTCTTGTCTGTTTGAAGCAAGTGAATGTTGCAATGGACCGCTTTGATTAGTATTTAATGGCCTTATAGCTTCAAACCGTGGCTGCTTCCTGACTGGGGGAACAACAAGGGCCAGCTAACACTTCCCAAAAAAAGGATTCCCCCAGGCAGGAAGCAGACAGGCTTTGAAGCTGCAAGGCCATTCAATGCTAATCAAGGTGGCCAATTGCAGTATTGACACTTTCCTCAAACAGACAAGAGGTCTTTCTCCCACCCTGGACATTCCACAGATATATAAACCCCACTTGCCTAGTTTTCAACAGACCTTACAACCTCCGAGGATGCCCGCCATAGATGTGGGGCAAAACATCAGGAGAGAATGCTTCTGGAAGATGGCCATGCAGCCCAGAACACTCACAACAACCCAAGGTCCAAGCTATCCATGAGCCTTATTTTTAAGTGAAGCATGTGTGTTTAAAGATATTTTTGTGGCCAAAATTGGAGGACTTGGTTGCAGAAACCTCATGTAGTACCCACCCAAGAAGTAAAGGAGCATTTATTTTCTGATTGAGTGGGTGAATTTTCTAACTTGCAGAGAAAGTCTTCATAAAATAGAGCTGGAATCCTTAGTGGTTTGGAAAGTCAGCACACTTACATTTCTGTCAATCCAGTAAAAAAAAAAAAATCAGTTTCTCTCTACCTTTTAATTGCTTGTTCTGCTTTGCTTGGGAGACTTTGCTTTATGCTTCTCTGTTTCTGATATATACTTATTGTGGGGCAAGAAGGGGCATGGGAAAGCAATCACCTTCATGTGTGAACCTTCTAGTTGGTGTCTTGACAGTGGGCTGTTGCATCGAGGACGGCGTCATTTCCTGAGGAATGCTGTGAAGGAGATGGAAGCCATCCTGGCCAATGAACCTGGGCTCTTGGGGCCAAAGGCAAGTCCAGAAGGTTGAAGCATTTTGGGAAAGTGTTCTTTCCTCACTCCTTCTCCTGTTTGTGTCTGGCTCTTTTGGCTTTCTTTTTTTCCCCACTCATTCTCTCCCACTTCTTCTTGTTCAAGGCCATCCAATTCCTTCTATAGTCATAACAAATGTTCCAGAGTGCATCTTTCTTTCCCACCTATAGGACTCTGCCAAGAAGGGCAGTGAAGGGGGGATAGGTTTACTTAATCCTTAAACACAAGAGGGGAAAATGTCCTTTAATCCAATTTTTACTCTTCTAAATCTTAGTTCAATTTAAATCCTTTGAAACCAACCACCTTCTGGATTACAGACCTATCTCTGGGAGCACGTCATATCAGGTTTGGTTGTTATGACACATATTTTCAGCCCTTTGTTATTGCTCTCTTTCAGCAAAGCCTTTAGTCTTTGCAATACAATACAATACAATGAGGATCTTCACTCTCAAAAGTCAGCTTGGCAAATTATTTTATCTCCATCAGGAAAATTATCACTTTTAACTGTCAAAGGATCTTATTTGTTGCTTCAGTGCTCAGTGTTAAATAAAATAAGGTAAACTAATAAATCATGTTCTTACTTTAAAATGCTGGAGCCTCTTATATGGAGACGGTGCAGAGACAAAAAGATCTCTCTGTGCCTCTGAGCTTTCAAATGTCCACTCAAGATGCTCTTTGCTGGCAAATACTCTCTTCTCTTTGTCCCACCCAAAGATGAGGAATTTGAGGGGTATTGTTGAAGGCTTTCATGGCCGGAATCACTGGGCTGTTGTAGGTTTTTTCGGGCTATGTGGCCATGGTCTAGAGGCATTCTCTCCTGACGTTTTGCCTTCATCTATGGCAAGCATCCTCAGAGGTAGTGAGGCCTGTTGGAACTAGAAAAAAGGGTTTATATATCTGTGGAATGACCAGGGTGAGACAAAGGACTCTTGTCTGCTGGAGCTAGGTGTGAATGTTTCAGCTGACCACCTTGATTAGCATATAATGGCCTGACAGTGTCTAGAGCAAACTTTTGTTGAAATACACAAGCATGTGGACAATTTCAACAGAAAGGAGGAAACCATGAAAATGAACAAAATCTGGCTACCAGTATTAAAAAACTCTAAAATTGCAACAGCACAACAACAGAGAGGAAACAAACAAAGGCATCTAATCACCTCTCCACAAAAGTTTGCTCTAGGCACTGTCAAGCCATTATATGCTATATCTGGGGAGAGCAGGTTGAGCTCCCTCTGTCAGCTCCATCTCCCCATGACATGAGAGAATGCCCTCACAAGGATGGTAAAACATCAAAACATCCGGGTGTCTCCTGGGCAACGTCCTTGCAGACGGCCAGTTCTCTCACACCAGAAGCAACTTGCAGTTTCTCAAGTCGCTCCTGAAACAGAAAGGAAAAAAAACCTTACAGAAGTTTGGGTCTAAATGTCTCAAAAGACTGCTTAAATCTATCTGCTGACTCCTCAAAAACAAAGGCACTTATAATTGCTTTGAAAGCAGTTAAACTATTGGGCACAATCCCATTTTTCTTTAATGCATTTCAAAAACTCCCAACCTTTGAAATGCATTAACCTTTGGAGTTTCTCAGGCCCCATCATTAATGCACTTTAGAAAGGCTTGGATATTCTGTCTTTTTTGTCTTTTTCTTAAATAGGTTTTTTGGGACTGCAAATAGCTTTTAACAGTATTATGTTTGCCATTTGAAGGAAGGAATGTTCATTGGTATAACAGGCTTTTCATGATATGCAGTAGACTCACAGTTAACTGGTCCCCATGGTGATGGGTAGGTGCCAGATAAATGTGGTTGATTGAGAGTTACTATTAACATAGGCCTAATTAGTACTGTACTCCATACCATAAGGTCTACTTTTACTTGGTATTAATATAGAAATACAGCAATTGAAAGCTAATTAAGACAAAGAAAGTGCTTTAGTCACACAGGAAACTTTGATGTATGGGAAGAGCATGAGTGCAAAGTACAAAATGTGATTTTATCAAATTCCATTAATCTACATAATTGATCCTCTGTATTATGTAATGTAGAACTCAAGGACACCTGCCAGCAGAACAGAGATTTCAGGAAGTTATCTTCAGTATTGGCATATTCTCATCCCTCTAAAACTCCATAGAAAATGAATGGACCTTTGTGGAGCTGACCTTCAGAACTGATTGGAGGGAATATTTTTGATCTGACTGCCTATTCCTCTTTCCCTCCTGACACCAATAGGCTGTTTATGTCTTCATGGCCCTGTCGTTCTGCCGTGATGAAGTCACCTGGCTATGCCGACACAGTGAACATGTCAGCAAGGGCAAGAACCCAGAGGAATTCACTGACAGGTACTGATGGATGATGAAAGCGATTTGAGGTTTTCAACCGAGATCAGATGGCCACCTCTAGAGGTGTTTTGGAATAGAGTTGGATTAGATAAACCTTGCAATCTCTTCTATTCTATGCTTTTCCAAAAGAATGTGAAGAGGAAACTACCAAACATGCTAAGCACAGAGAGCCAGTATTGTGTATTGGTTCAAAGGGTGAATTGTTACTTGGGAAATCACCTTGAACCAGTCATTTTCCCAGCCTGACTTACTTCACAAGGGTTTTGTGTGGATAAATTGGGGATAAACAAGTTGGGTTAACTTATGTACAGGTCAATGTACCTTAACTTTTATTTAAAAACGAACCATCCCTGTCTTTGAGTAGAGAGGTGAAAGGCAAGAGCTTAGAACAGTGGTTCTCAACCTGTGGGTCCCCAGATGTTTTGGCCTTCAACTCCCAGAAATCCAAACAGCTGGTAAGCGGGCTGGGATTTCTGGGAGTTGTAGGTCAAAACACCTTGGGACGTGCCGGTTGAGAGCCACTGGCTTAGTGTGTTCCAGGAGAACCTAAAAAGCGCACTGGTCCTTTCTCCTCTGTGGACTTATCCTTGCCTTAATCATGGGTTACATCAAAATCCATATTTTGAGCCCAAAACATACCCTCAGCCTACTCATGAGGTGGGCTTCCACAAACTATACATGGTAAATGGATCTGTTTGTGATCGCTATATTGACCTTTTATTGCAGATCGAACTACGCTAATTTTTTTTGTTATCAGGAACGACTTGAGAAACTGCAAGTTGCTTCTGGTGTGAGAGAATTGGCCGTCTGCAGAGACATTGCCCAGGGACGCCCACATGTTTTACCATCCTGTGGGAGGTTTCTCTCCCTGCATGAGAAGCTGGAGCTGACAGATGGGAGCTCACCCTGCTTCCTGGATTTGAACTGCCAACCTTTCAGTCAGCAGTCCAGCTGGCACAAGGGTTTAACCCATTGTGCCACTGAGGGCTCTTCATTGCATTATATGGTCAGTGTAGACTCATATAATGCAGTTTAACCACATTATAGAAGTCTACACTAACCATTTAATGCAGTTTGACCTGCATTAAATGGTCAGTGTTGATGGGCAAACATGTAAAGCAAACAGATATAAAGGCTAGATATGTTATGTTCTTAAAAGTTGGATAGCAGGGGAAATTTCTTCTTTTCTTTGACCTTTATAGTAAGTTAAAGGGTATGGTAAACATGTCTTGGGCTAGAAGTGAGTTCATAAGAAGCTCTCTCTTTCTTTCTTCTTCCCCTCCTCCATAAATATGTGTATCACAGCCTTATTCTCTCCACATCTTTATCCCACCGCACTCTCAAAAACAAAACTCAGGCAAACACTGTCATACCCTTTTATGCCTTGGTAAAAAATGTACACTCTTACTTTTCTGTCTCATTCTCAACCCACCTTTTCTCTTACTCTCAAACCCATCTGTATGCCTACAAGTGTGTGTATACAGCCTCCCTGTTACTTTCCCTATTTTTAGAGGAAAGTTCCCTATTCAGTCTTCTCTCAATCTTGGTTGAGCTATCGATAGTAGTTTGTGAAGCAAGGATGCATGACCCACCCTGTTGAAGCAATTAAGGCCATAATAAAGTAGATTAATTAGTTGATTAAAAAACTGAAATGGGCTATTAAAGCAATGTGAAATAATGAGAATGCAGAATACTGTGTTTACCTTTATTAACTCTTAAGAGTTTTGTTGGCAGCTACAGCTTGAAAAGAATTAAGGAAAGAAACATGCAGTGGGATTTAGGGATGAATGCGTGGAAAAATACCAACTGATTCAATCTGATATTGGAAACTAAACATAATCAGGCCTGATTAGTATTTGGATGGGAGACTTCCAATGGACACCAGATGCTGTAGGCTGTATTTCAGAGGAAATGGTTTTTGATTATTCTTTCTCTAAGAAAACTCCATAAAATTCATGAGATAGCCATATGTTGATAAGGAAATTGAAGGCACATAGGCATACAAAGGTAAAATGTTAGACCTGGAAAAAAAGCACATAATTTGGTAGACAACAGTGAGGTAAAAAGAAAAAGGCTTAATGTAAATATTTGAATATTGAATAATTAAAGAAACTGTAGGAAAGATTAACCGGCTCAACAACAGGATAAATAGAAGAACTTTAGTTGTCTACATAAATAGAAACTGGAAAAGTACTTGAGGTATTTTTGAGGGGTTCTGGAGATCTGTTTTCCTTTCAAAGGAATATTCATCCTTTTCAGTGAGCACTTTTTTCTTTTCTTTTTCAGTCCCTCCTTGTACTAGATAATGGAGGTAGTAATGGTGAGGTCAACATACAGCAAAGAGAATGTTATGTGTTTCATTAGAAACAATCAAGAGGCTTTTGGCATCTAAAAAATTGACAGTGTGTGATTACAACATAGTCTTTTGTGGACTTCAACTCATCTGAATGCATGATGTATTGCCACCACTGGCAAACTCTTTTATAATTGCATGGATGAATGGGGTGAGGTGTGCGTGTGTGGAGGGGGCAGGATTTGTAATCTACTGAGCCAAGGTTTTATGTATCTGATGAAGGAGGATTTAGTCCACAAAAGCTGATGCCTAATCAAAATGTATTATTAACTGCATTGGGTTAAACCCTTATGCTGGAAGGACTGCTGACCAAAAGGTCAGTGGTTTGCTTTGGAGTGGGGTGAGCTCCCATCTGTCAGCTCTAGCTTTCTTTGCAGGGACATGAGAGAAGCCTCCCATAGAATGGTAAAACACCCAGGCATCCCCTGAGCAGTGTCCTTGCAGACAGTCAATTCTCTCACACCAGAAGTGACTTGCAATTTCTCAAGTTGCTCCTGACATGAAATAAACTGGGTCAGACAACCATGGTCAGTGGGCTACTTGCACTCCTTTCCATTTCTAGTCCTTTAAATAAAGTCATCCAGCTCTCCCACACAAATTGTTTTGATTGAAAACAGAGTGTAAAATGTAGATCTTTTACAAGCAAGGACTTCTGGATGCTTTGGTTCCACTTTGCTGCAGTCTCTGGATTGTGCAGAGGTGTAAAATTGGTTTTTTGAACTCTTCCTTCCCTGGTCTTTAAGGTATCAGAACACTCCATTGTTTTTGCTGGAGCAGATTAACAAGGTTTACTCCATACATGCATGCGTAAACACACCAACAAATGTTTCAGGCATCTATTTTCCCACACAGCTACCTGGCTGAGATTCTGTTTCTGATGGAGAAGCTCCGCAATCTGGTCCGGAAGCACCAAAATGTTCTCCAACGCTACCACGTACAATACTTGACACACTTTGACGTCCAGGTGCTCAGTGACATCATCCAGGTATGAAAGCTACAAAGGGGGAAAGAAGAGCCAGGGCTCGTGAGATTGTGCTGAGGTTAGAAAGAGCTGTTGGTTTCGGTGAGCCTCTTTTGTACCAAACTTTGTGAAAGAAAAGAGGGAATGGTTAGAGGTGAAGACGGTGGAGGTTAATAATCATTCTCATTGATGGATCACTTCTTTTGTGCATATCTTTATCCCCTTGCATTTCCACTTAGTAGGACCCCAGAGGACAAACGTGGGAGAAGGATGCTTTTTGAGATCTTGGAGCATTGTCACTTGTTGGAGAAGACAATACTAGCCTAGCTTGCTATAAAATAGCTTCATATGGCACTGCAAGGCAAAATGCAGTACTTTTTTTCTGGTCTAGAAAAAAAAGGAGCCCCCGGTGGTGCAGTGGGTTAAACCCTTGTGCCAGCAGGACTGAAGACCGACAGGTCGCAGGTTCAAATCCGGGGAGAACGCAGATGATCTCCCTCTCATCAGCTCCAGCTCCTCATGCAGGGACATGAGAGAAGCCTCCCACAAGGATGGTAAAAACATCAAAACATCCGGGCGTCCCCTGGGCAATGTCCTTGCAGACAGCTAACTCTCTCTCACTAGAAGCAACTTGCAGTTTCTCAAGTCGCTCCTGACACGAGAAAAAAAACAAAATGGAGAAAAACACTTTGGGATTTATATATAGTCCCCTCAAAACTTCACCCCCTTTCTTTTTTCATGGTATTTGAGATAATGTGCCTCAGTAATCAATCTGAGAAAACAACCCAATTAAATAATTCTCTAAGATCCACTGAGAACAGATGGTGTAAAAGCAAGCAAACTGTCATCACTTCCCTGAGCCCCACTGCCTTTTGCAGGACCTGACTGTCTGCCCTGAGGAGGAGTCTGTGATTATGTCATCCTTTGTGAGCTCAGTCTCATCCCTAACCATCAAGCAAGGTAATTATTCTGTCACTGCAAGGTTGCTCTGTGTGTGGTACATTTCATTCCTCCTGTGCAAAAGAAACTCAAACTGTACACCGGGGAAGAATTAGATCTATGTGGGTCGAATATATAATGCACAACAGAGGGAGGGGGCATCCTCTTTGCAACATATGCTAAGAGGATTCCTCCTCTAACTTAGATGGGAGTGCAGGTATTATTATTATTATTATTATTATTATTATTATTATGTTTATTTATATTCCTCTTTTTTTTCCATACGGAGATGCAAAGCGGCTCACAACTAAAAGCTTCGCAATACAACTTGAAATCTACACGTATACAAGTATTAAAACAATATTAAACATCATGCTACTATTTGAGGCCACTAGTTGTTGCTCGATGGTTGTTTTTATTTTGTGTTATGTGTCTGTTTATTTTATATTGATTATGATGTCGTTTTATGAATTTTAACGTGTTATATTTTAACTATGTTGATCGGGCTTGTCCCCATGTAAGCCGCCCAAGTAGCTTCGGGGAGATGGAGGCAGGATACAAAAATAAAGGTTGTTGTTGTTGTTATTAAAAGCATATAAAATCACAACAGCCCCTGACAATCTTAAAATCCTTTTTCTTTAAAAGCCTGCCTGAATAAAAAAGGTTTTAACCTGCCGCCTGAAGAATAGCAGGGAGGGGGCTATTCTGGCTTTCCTGGGCAGGGAGTTCCAGAGTCGAAGGGCAGCCACTGAGAAGGAAGGCTTGCTCTCTCGTTCCCACCAATAGGTAGCTACTCTCTACCCCTTTGTACACCATGCTTAATGGTAGGAAAGGGACAGAGGAGGGAAACAATTATGATGAAGAAGATGGAACTGGTCTGAGCTCTTAGAGGAAGAAAAAGGAACATGCACTTCAATTGTGAACTTGCCCTCATTTCCCTTCCCCAGTCAAGACCAGATGCTGTTTCATTGTCTGAATTATTTCCTCCCTCTCCTTTGAGCAGTGGCAATAGCAGCAGCAGCACCACCAAGCTTTTCCAGAACCTACAATGGGGAAGAGGGACATATGTTTTAGTTATAAGTGCAAACAAAAATAGAACCCATTCAGGCATTTCAGGAATTAAGTAGTCTATAGATCAGAGCTTTCCAAACATTTCATGTTAGTGACACACTTTTTTAGATATATCCCTTTCTGTGACACAGTAATTAAGTTTTACTAGACAACTGGAGGTTAAACCAACCCCTTATAAGAGATGCAGACTCAAACATAAATTGTAATAACACAATGCATCTGATCAAAAACTCGATAACATATATCTCCCAGATATTTGTCATTTCTGGTTACATTTGCACAAAGCACCTACATACTCCAGTCACACACACACACTTTGGAAGTTTCTGCTATAGACACTTTTGAGGAGGGCTGACTCAAAAGCAGTAGTTCTCAACTTGTGGGTCCCCAGGTGTTTTGGCCTACAACTCCCATAAATCCCAGCTAGTTTACCAGCTGTTAGGATTTCTGGGAGTTGAAGGCCAAAACATCTGGGGACCCACAGGTTGAGAATCACTTCTCAAAAGCAAACAGAATCATAGAGTTGGAAAAGACCACATGGGCCCATCCATGCAAGCAATAGTCCTCACAGAAATAATATTTATCTTCCCATGGTAGGCAACCTTGAATTTTCTCATATGTAAGGCCTTAACAAGTGTAAGAGAATGTGTAGCTCTTTATCATTGTTTTACCTATGTATTTATTTTGTAGTTGATGAGAAGGAGAAATTTGATTTCACTGGGCTGCGGCTGGATTGGTTCAGGTTGCAGGTAAATTCCTCTGTGGGGTTTAACTTCTCTTTCTTTCTGTTATTTCCTACATCACTGGGGTAGATATTCAGCTCCTTCTGAGCCTGGACACTTACCTGCCTGTTAGGACTTTTGCATGTTGTTTCCTTTGCTCTTTGATCTTTCAAAGTTCCAGCAAGTATAAAGAGAGGAGCTGAGAACTTGGCTGCACATTATACTTGCAGTGTAAGAGCTGCCTGGGCTCTGACTGTTGAGCATTGTCCAGGCTTCCCAGAGAGCGTCTCAAATGCAAAGAGAAAGCTGAAAGGGATTTGTGGCTCCTGTGGTCCACATATTGTGGCAGATCACTTTTGATTTGAATGAAGAGTCACTTTTTGCCTTCCCTTTCAATGTATAATATACCTTTCCTTGTCTTTTGCTTTCCTCATATGAGCTTAACCCTGTCAATGGCTATTGGTAGTAGTTATATGTGTAGGGCAGAACAGAGTGACAAATTACATATCTCTTTCTCTCTCAAACATCTACAATTGTAAGACATATTCTAATTTCAGTATCATCCTCACTTCTGCCACCACCAAAAATACGTAAGATACACCTTTGATTCTATGATGCAGCACCCCATTTTTAGATACGTTTGTATAGGAGAAAAGTGCATCTTGGAATTGGAGAAATGCAGTATATGTCAAAGTATGCATGTCTGTCTGTACAAGAAAGGTAACACTAAGTGACAGTGGCCCTCTGTGATATCACTGGGATAGGAAGATGACATCATGAGGGGAAGAGATGGAAGAGCAAAGAAGGGAAGGGAAGGAAGGAGAAGGAAGGAATGCAAGGCGACAAGAAGAGAGGGAGGGGTGAGTGTATGAGGAAAAGCAAGAGGAGAAGAAAAAGGCAGAAAAGAGGGAGGTGTATGAGGGAAACAGGAAGGAAAGAAAGAGCCACAAAGAATGCTTGCCCATTGTTGCCAGAACGTTGCCATGAAAACATTGTGAAGCAGGCTTTCTCAGAGCTGGAGAAGGGAAAAAAAAATAGTTGGGCAGTGGTCCCAACAGCACCCAAGTGTGTATGCTAGTGGCTAAACAAACATCGGCATTTCTTTAATAGTAAACAATATTTAAAATAATTTGAAGCATTTATTTAATCTCTTCAAATGCTGATAACTGCTAAGAGAGTTTTTATTTACTCCCATGTAAATTGAAATAAAAGTGGGCACTGGAGACTTCCTGATGTCTTGGTCTATTAAACTAATTAAGGATTCCTGTCTAAAATCTACCAGTTGAACACTACCACCATAAGTAGCAGCATAAACCAAAATTGCTACAGCTTTTGCCTGCTATTTTGGACTTAAGTTTTTGTTAAAATAACTAATAAACAGTAGTGTTAAATACCGTCTTCCTAATAGTTTCATCAATTGATTCTTTAATTGAGATTATATTTGTTGAGACTTTCACTCCATTCTTCATTGATGATTAATAATTGCAAATCACTTTTCCATACTGTTTTCAGTCCGTCTTTTGAGGGATATATAAAAAAAGAAGATAGTGGATCTTATGAAACTAGATCTTTCATACTATTTTCTGCTAATGGTAACAATTCTATAAATTTTGGGAGCAGGTGAATAACTCAGTCTTGTCTTGATGGAGTGAAACTGAATAGAAAACTCCAAAATATATGAGACACATTGCAATTGCTATTACCTAAGTGTGTACATAGTTCTTTGCAATGTCTCCTTTTGTTAACAAGTCAGTATCTTAACTGGGGCGGTGGGAGTGGGGAGGAGGGAGCAACCTGAAAAGGTTTTGCTTGTCTTCGTGCAAAAAGAGCTGGCTCCGGAAAGGAATCAATGGTGAGGGACCAGGAATCAATTTGCTCTGCCAATAAGTATAAATCCTAGTCTTATTCTGTAGAAAGAGGTGATCGCTTGGGGGATGTGAGGAGGAAAAAAATGATTCCCACACTAGGGATGTGCTTATTTAAGTTATTCAGTCCTGCAGGGGAAAATGAGCAATTTAATCAATTTTCCTTCAGTTTTTTGAAAGTGTACTTCTAGGACCTTGAGGGAGCTGGGGGTGGTAACGGCCGACAGGGAGCTCTGGCGTGGGCTGGTCCATGAGGTCACGAAGAGTCGGAGACGACTGAACGAATGAACAACAGCAACAACTTCTAGGAAACAGAAAACTTCCCTCCAACTATACTTACTTTTTTCCTACCCTCCCCACTGCCATATATCTCCATGTTGGCAGAGCAAAATGTGAGTCTGGTCTGAATTGGAGATGAGAGTAGTCAGGATTTAAAGATTTGGAGTGCTGTTGGCGTTAAAAGAGGCTTCGAGATTTCCTTGTTGGGCTTTCCCAATGCAGAAAACCCCTTTTTTCATTTCTTCCCACAGGTTTTTGAATATTTTTTCCATCCCTATCCCACAAACTTACTTAGTTCAAAGTTACCTAACTTCAATGGTAGCCTTAAGCAAAACTGCCTTTTTTCCATTTGTGGGTGGGTGGATGAGTCCCTCAAGACAGCTTTTAGGAACCACGCTTTCTCCAGATCTGCTTTAAGGACAGTTAGTACAGTGGCCTAGATCTTCATAACTCCTCCACTTCTTCCCAAAGTCTTCCTTCTGGGCTAGCAACCACCTTTTTTGGATCTAAACCTGCAATTTACACTTAAGCAACCGCTGTTCCCGAAGGCTACTCAAGACCTTTGTTTTGGTGCTGCCTTCAAGTAGCTCTGATTCTCTGATATCTTTGACTCTCTGGCCCCTCTGGCTTCTGTGTTTTCTCAGACAGACTTCTTTATTAGATCACAACCAATCACATTCAAAACAATATTCTATTACTCCACAATAACCCATTATTCTAGACCAATCATCTTCTGTGGAATATTTTAGATCCACCAATCATTCTCACCCTATTTGAATTCCATCCTTCAGTATATAAACATTAGACATGGCAGTTGAACAGTATAATTGTCAACTGATCTCGACAAATAAAATGGCCTCTACGCACAAGTAAGAGGCCAAGATTTTTTTTTCATTGCTCAATCCTTTTAGTATTCAGATCTTAGCTTTCTCTCTAAATATATAACTGTGACCCTAATAGTTCATGATCTATACCCTGATGGTCAGTGATCCTAACAGGTCAGGTCATGATCCTTTCGCCCCAATAATTTGAGCATTGGATTATAGCTCTGAAGACCATGTTCTAAATCCCTGCTCATCCATGGAAGCTCAGATGGTTCCTTTAAGCAAGTCATACCTTCTCAGTCTCAGAGAAAGGCAAAGGCAACAAACATCTTCTCTGACCAAACCTTTCCAAGAAAACCCTATGATAAACTCACCTTAGGATTGCCATATGTCAGAAATAAGTTGAAGGCACTGGGTTGTTGTGAATTTTCTGGGCTGTATGGTCATGTTCCAGAAGCATTCTCTCCTGACATTTCACCTGCATCTATGGCAGGCATCCTCAGACATTGTGAGGTCACCTTGCAACCTCTGAGGATGCCTGACATAAATGCAGGTGAAACATCAGGAGAGAACGCTTCTGGAACATGGCCTGTGAAGTCTTGGCTCTGCCTTTTCCTCTCCTCTGCTTCAGTTCCCCCTATTTAGGTTTTCCCAATAGTGTAGATGCCTTCCTTTGTATTAGTTTTTGAGTGAAGCATAAAAAACCCTAAAGGCCAGCGTTAGTTGGTTTATTCCATTTGCCTGTATAGACCTCTTTTGCTGGACCCCCCCCCTTTTTTTTTTTTTTTTTTGCAACAGAGCTACAGAGAATAGAGGCTTGGGAATTGTTTGGTAATTCTAGGCCCAAGCTATTCAAAACAGGCATCCTTAACACCTGCATTCAGCAGTATCCATATACCATCAGTCCAAGAGACAACAGAAGCTTTTGACCAGCTTAAGCTTCACAAGGAAGAACACTGAGACAGTTTATAACCATTGCTTTGCACCAGAGGCAGGAAATTTTCAAAGACTCCAGAGAGATTATTGCAACCAGCAAAATCTCATTTTGTAATGTTTTGTTTCAAGTTATCCTATAATAGTCCTGGGTGGAGTTAACCCTTTATTCATCTTGTTTTCATTAAACTCATTTTGGTTATCTTTTCGCCTTTCCTAAAGTGTTGCTGTCTGTTAAGGGTCTTAATCTTAATAGAAGGTATCAGATAGCCCTCGAATAAATCCAGACACTATAGTTTTTCCCAAAGGCTTGGGCGTGCCGTCACATGGCCATACAGCCCAGAAAACTCACAACAAACCAGTGATTCTGGCCACTAAAACCTTCGACAATAACTTGAAGGCACATGACAATTCAAAATTCAATACTGCTCAGTTAAGACAGTTTTTTCATTTGACCAAGAGATTGGTGTTGAGTGATCGAGTAATGAAAGATCAAGTAGTGTACTGGTAGATGTGAATTAGCTTGTGGCTTAAAACAGTCTTATCCTGTTCTGAGTATTTAGAGTGACATATCAGGCCCTTTTCCTTACTAGGCATACACCAGCGTCACAAAGGCCCCACTGCAGTTGAGGGAAAATCACGACATTGCTAAGGTGATGAACCTCATTATCTTTCACACAAAGATGCTGGACTCTGTGGAGGAGCTAATGGTGGAGACCTCAGACCTTTCCATATTCTGGTATGTACTTAGGAGAGATACTGTACAAAGTCTCTTAAAAATTAATAGTTTAAAAATGGGTTGCTGAAAGCATGATGATTCAGGGAACTGACTCTTTATATGTTCTTACGGGCATACATATGAATGCATGAGCATATATTTTCAGTAGGTTGCTCTCAGTTACTGTGGTTCCTGACTTTGCTTTTATTGGTTGGTATTATTGATATCTCCATTCATTTGGCAGCTTTTATGTGCGCTTCTTGGAGAAACTCTTTGCATCCACCATGGAGGAACCATCCATGCTGCGCTATGCCATTGCTTACCCATATTTGTGTACTGACTTCTGCCATGCTACCCATCCTTTGTGCCCTGAGGAGGTATGTATACATTTGACAGTCAAACAGGGAGGAAAGGCCTACCACCAGAAAGGACAGGAATATCTCCCCAACAATTGAAACTGTTGAGCTTTTCTGTCATCACTGTGGAAAAGGAATATGCAACCTTGGTGTTCTCAGTTTTGCCCACCAGGAATCACCATAGATTCATAGATATTTTGCTTACCCTAATAGTTAAGAACAGAGCACCCTAACTACTCTGTTAAGAACTTTTAAAAGCTCCATGTGTGCTATTTCTTAGCATTTATAGATAACTAGCTTATGTTATGTATCTGATGTTGCTGAAATTAGGTATTTTGTAATGCAATTTATTAGAAAGAGTCATTGTTTCATTTTGGATTTTATGAAGAGTTCTGTTGGAAAATACATAACTGTATAAAGGGACCCTTTATAAAATCACACAACTGATGTGGTGAAACTCCCATCAGACCAAGATCTGGTCAAGTTGCAACAAGTTGGTCCAGATTTGATCAGCTGTAATTCCTATTAACCCTGGATCTGGTGGGGGTCCAATCCCCATCAGTCCCAGGTTTGTCCAGTCTTGAACTTGCATTATCCCTAGATCTAGCTGGGTGGAAGTCAAGGGTCTGCCCCTAACTGGTCAGATGGGTCAGCCTTTTTGTTGGGGTAATGTGTGCCAAGTTTGGTCCAAATCTATTGTTGGTGGGATTTATATGGCTCTCTGGATGTGAGGGACTACAACTCCCACTATCCTTTGTCAACCCCTGCAACCTCTCCAATATTTCAAATTGGCCATGATGGGCATTTGTGCCAAGTTTGGTCCAGGTCCATCATTACTTGGTAACACCCAATTAGAACATTGAACTCTATGTATCAATGTTAGTTGAGGCTAGAGGCAAGTAACAAGGGTGGGACCCAATATGAGCTTCCCTGGGAATTTGGATTTTCCTTTATTTCCTTACTCCAGGTTCCTCATCTGCGGACCTGTGCCTTGAGCCTGTGCAACAGCTTTCTGGAAGAGATGGCTAAACAAACCTGTATTTGCATCCTGGATATTTGTGCTGAGCAGTATAACCTAACTGAGAAGGTGAGAAGCCATTTCTTTCTGGTTGTCAGGAGTAGATCCTGACAAAACAACACTTTGAGAGAACAGTTCACATAATCCCACAGCTATCTTGACTACTGGTGGCTATCTTGACTACTGGTGGGAAATATAGTCCACAAGTAATGTTTTCATGTCTTTTTAAAGGCATAGCAAGTACCTAAACCCAGTCTTCTTTTACCTGCAAGTCAGTGCATAGGAACCTGATCCACATTAGAATAATCATGGTTATATAGGGTGAGGTGGGTATCTTAAACCTCCCATGCCTGTAGTGGGAAGTGGGCGGACAGGGACGGGAAATTCAACTAGCTGTTTGTACATGGTTGGACTAATTTCACTGCATGGTGCTGCCACTGTTAATAAAGCCTAGAACAAAAGAGCCCAGAGAGCATCCTAGTTTTTACTATCTGGCTGTTGAGGCGAGTCTTGTCTTTGGAATGATTACACACACACCATGCACCATCTTGCTCTCATTATGCTTTGTGACATGATCCATATTAACACAAAAGTAATAAATTCCCTTGTCCTTTTTGTATCCTACCCAGCTATTGCCCAAGTACTGTGCTGCCACCATCAGCAAGGCACGGAACAAGAGAGCCCAGAAAGTAGCCAAGAAAGGAGAACCAGAGAGGGATAAACCTGGTGCAGAGAGCCACCGAAAAGATCGTAGCCTGGCCACCAAGTAAGACAGTAAAAGAGCTGGCATCTCTGCTGACATCTTTTGAAACCATTTGAGTGTCTCTAGTGTTCACAGATGAAAACCAGAATATCTGTCGCTGATCAACATCAGAGTGTGGCTGGGCAAAAGTGATTAGAGATGATTAGCACACAAAATTACTGTTTTAAGAAGAGAAACATTGGACTTTTGGAACTTATATAGAAGGGCTCATCTCCCTCTCTTCACCCTTTTGCTGTTAACTATTTGTAATTTGCACTTAGTTTGTGGCAGTTAAAGCAAGCTAGAACAAAGGGGGAAAGCAGGAGGGAGGAACATTTTAAAAGCAATGGAGAAAGTGGAACAGCAGAGAGTTGACTAGAGCCATCCCTGTCAAACTGGATACAGAGTCCTACAACTCTATTTTAAAATACAAAATTATAGAAGGAATTTCTGCTGTTGCAACAAGGGAAATGCCTTTCTTTGTGTTGTTAAAGGCTTTCATGGCCAGAATCACTGGGTTGCTGTGAGTTTTCCAGGATATGTGGGCATGTTCCAGAAGCATTCTCTCCTGATGTTGCACCCACATCCATGGCAGGCATCCACAGAGGATGTGAGGTCTGTTAGAAACTAGGCAAGTGAGGTTTATATATCTGTGGAATGTTCAGGGTGGTTTTTATATATCTGTGGAATGTCCAGCACCTCTCAACAAAGGATTCCTCCAGGCAGTAACAAGCCACCCCTAAAAACTGTTAGGCAATCAAATTCTAATCAAGATGTCCCATTGAAACATTCACACCTAGCTCCAATAGACAAGAGTTCTTTTTCCCATCCTGGACATTCCACAGATCCAATTTTCCTAGTTTCCAACAGACTTCACAACCTCTGAGGATGCCTGCCATATATGCAGGTGAAACATCAGGAGAGAATGCTTCTAGAACATGGCCATATAGCCTGAAAAACCTACAACCCAGTGATTTGGGTTGTACAATAAATACATTTACAATAAATACATTGTTCAGATATTGTTGCTGCTTCCCCCAGTGTTCATCACCATTGGTCATATTGTCTAGAGCTGCAGAGAGTTATCCAGCATTTTTCCTCTGCCATCCCTTAGGACAGGGGTTCATAAACTTTTCCACTCAGGACTTCTTTTGGCCTGAGAATTTTTTACGTGACCCCGGGTATGTAGGTATATAAAATAGGTATAAAAACCAAACATTTCCTGATAACAAACCAGCATTTTGCAAGGTTTCCTAAACAGACTTACTTTTCTTTTTATGAAGTATAGCTGAAGCATCCTCTACAGAATCCACTGTAAACAGTGCACAACATATTCATTAAAATGTCTGAAACAGCCACCAAATGATGTTCAGAAACCTTTGACTGTTTACCAATTTTTTCATAACTAAGGGGACCCCATTTGAGGAAGCAGTTTAGGAAGCAGTCCTTAGGAGAAGGGTTCCAAAGGAAGAACAGGAGAGCCTGACACTATGTAGTCATAGAGCAGCAACAGTACATACTGAGCAGTAGATGTCAGCTTCCTTGGTGATAGTGTTGCATGTGATATGTCCTACAACTGAGAATTTGGAATGTGGTAAGTCAAAATTGTAAACAAATTGAGACACAGTTACATATTATAATTACAGTGTCCATGGTATTCCCTGTAGTAACCTACGGATGTGAGAGCTGGACCTTAGGGAAGGCTGAGCGAAGGAAGATAGATGCTTTTGAACTGTGGTGTTGGAGGAAAGTTCTGAGAGTGCCTTGGACTGCGAGAAGATCCAACCAGTCCATCCTCCAGGAAATAAAGCCCGACTGCTCACTGGAGGGAAGGATACTAGAGACAAAGTTGAAGTACTTTGGCCACATCATGAGGAGACAGCAAAGCCTAGAGAAGACAATTATGCTGGGGAAAGTGGAAGGCAAAAGGAAGAGGGGCCGACCAAGGGCAAGATGGATGGATGGCATCCTTGAAGTGACTGGACTGACCTTGAAGGAGCTGGGGGTGGTCACGGCTGACGGAGCTCTGGCGTGGGCTGGTCCATGAGGTCACGAAGAGTCGGAGGCGACTGAACGAATGAACAACAACAAAAAAAACCAATCAACATTTTTACAGCACTTCCTCAAACACTGATTGAATAGCTAGTCTTTGATACAATTAAAAGGAACCAGTGCAAATGGATATGTTCAGAGGACCAACAGATGGGGGCTTTATGTTGAAGACAGAGTATCTTTATCCTCCTTTCCCATACCTAGGGCTTGGATAACTGTTTCAAGACTTGGGCTTACCGTGTTCCTACCTGACAGAATGTCTCCCTTTTGTTCAGCGGTTCTCAACCTTTGGTCCTCCAGTTGTTTTGGACTTCAACTCCCAGAAATCCCAGCCAGTTTGCCAGCTGTTAGGAATTGTGGGAGCCGAGTCCAAAACCCCCAGAGGACTAAAGGTTGGGAACCATGGATTTAGTTACTCATTCATATTCACCATCAGTGATTCTAACCCACCATCCTTTGCTTCTTTTTCTTTCCCTAGTTTGGACAAGCTACATATCACATTGACTGAGCTTTGCTGGAGCCTCAATCAAGTCACCAGCTTTGTGGTCTTTGAGCATACAGTGACCCCAGCAGAGTATCTTAGCAGCCAGCTGGAGACTCGCCTCAGCAGGTACAGAAGGGAGAACAGAAAAGGGAATGCTGAAGTGGCTTTGAGAGCAAGTCCATTCCAGACAGAAGCCATAATGGTGGGACAAAACTATATGGCACTCATGAACTACCGGTTTTACTCATGAATTTCACATATTGGGCTGTTGTTGTATTAATAGCCATCAAGCCAGCTTCAGTGTGTTGTTGTAGGTTTTTCAGGCTATGTTCTATAGACATTCTCTCCTGATGTTTCACCTGCATCTATGGCAAGCATCCTCAGAGGTAGTGAGGTCTGAGGATGCTTGCCATAGATGCAGGCGAAACATCGGGAGAGAATGCCTCTAGAACATGGCCATATAGCCTGAAAAACCTACAACAACCCAGTGATTCCAGCCATAAAAGCCTTCGACAATACAAGCCAGCTTCAGTTTCTGAATGAGAGATTTCCAAGACACCCTGCCATGAGCAGTCCTGCTCAGGTCCTGCAGATTCAAAGCTCTGACTGCCTACATTTGTGCTATCCACTTGTAACTTGGGCTTCATTGTGGTCTCTACAGCTCAGGGAAATTAGTGCCTCCATTTCTGTGGGTTCAAAAACCACATGTACAGGTAAAGAAACTGTTCTTATTCATCTACGCTGCAGGAATAATGCAGTCTAACACAACTTTATTTTCCACAGCTCAATGCCATGGAGTAGTGAGAGCTGTAGTTTTACAAGCTCAACTCCCATGATTCAAAGTATTGGGCCATGGTAGTTGGTGCAGTGTCAAACTGCATTCATTTTGCTGTGTAGTTGCCCCAACAGTCTCATTGACATGCACAAATGGGTTTTGCCTCCATTTATTTGGGTTCACAGATGACCACAGAAAGGCCCACAGGCACAACTATGCAACTTGTTCTTCCTTTTTGTTGTTGTTGTTTTCCATTTTATTGGATTACAGATCTCACACTCCCCAGCCAGCATAGCCATTATCTGTGCTACATTTTATGCCTGCCTTGTGCTTGTTAATGAGTGGGGAAAAGGGAGGAATAAGCCCTTACTTTAGTTAAATATGTGCATCCCAGTGTTCCTTAATTTAAAATGAAATGCAACTGCCTCAACTTGCTTTCATCTACAACAGTTGGCTCTTTGTTCAGTGCTTCCATGCTGACAATCACATCTGCAGATCTACTTGTAAGACTTTAAAAGTAGTGATTTAATTAGCAAAAGTCATCTCTATTTTGAAACCAAAGCCTTCTGCATTGGATTGATAGGCTATAGCATGTGAGAGAAAAGAGAGTAGTCACTTTTTGGTTACCTGCTTCCTATTTTTTTGTCATGTCAGGAGCAGCTTGAGAAACTGCAAGTTGCTTCTGGTGTGAGAGAATTGGCCATCTGCAAGAATGTTGCCCAGGGGGCGCCCGGATGTTTGATATTTTACCATCCTTATGGGAGGCTTCTCTCATTTCCCCACATGGGGAGCTGGAGCTGACAGAGGGAGCTTAACCCGCTCTCCCTTGATTCGAACCGCTCACCTGTCAGTCAGCAATCCTGCTCCTAAGCTTCCTATTAATTGAACTATAAAGGAAATGTTTCAATATTTTGAAGTTCTTTGGGTTTTTTTTAGAATTATGTATCTCCTACGAAAATATTTTGAATTGTTTTGGAGAAAAGAAAACAAAGTATCCTTATATCAATTAAAATGCAGTCTGTTTGCTATATCCACAGTTTCCTCATCCACAAATTCAAGCATTCAAGGACTTGAACATCCATAGATTTTGGTATCCATGAGGGTCCTGGAACCAAAACCAGTGGATACTATGGGCTCATTGTAACTTGCAAACCCCAGAAATTATAAAAGTACTAAGCATTCAAATACCATCCCAAAACATTGTGCAGCTGAGTGAAAGACAGCAGATGTTGAATTTGTGCACATTTTTCAATGTAGAGTCAGCTGTGTATTTTTCTGGATCTTGAATATTGTCTGACCATTAAGAATGCACCTTAAGCTACTCCGTGTATAGCAGAGAAATTTGCCTTGTGATTGCTGGAGGCCGTGCTGCTAAATATGCAAGTCTAGCTATTTTGTGCATTCTCTCTCCCCCTCTGTTGGCTAGAAGATCATTCACTTTTGCTCTTCCCACCTCCAGGTCCTTGGTGCTGCTGGCAAAGCCAAACCCAACTTCCCCAGAGTTATCACGCCCCTCGGAAGTATTGGCTGGTGTGCAGGCCTATGCTACTTTCCTGGTGTCATTGATGCATCGTGTGGCGCTAGATACTGGGCGCCTCCTCCGTAGTGTGCTTCTGCAGCAGACTCAGCCATTGGATGCAAATGGCGAGCAGACCCTCACCACTCTCTACACTAATTGGTAGGTGCCTGAAGCATGATTATTTGGGGAAATAAAGGGGTTGGTGTGAGTTCTACACTGTTCTAGTAAGCAGCCTATAATTTGTGCCAAGGCCTGATGGTCTCATATTTAGCATCTGCTTTCAATGTCAAGACAACTAGGCTAGAGAATTAATGCAGTTTGACACCACTTTAATTGCTGTAGCTCAACACTATGGACTTATGGGAGTTGTAGTTTTACAATGTTTAGCTTTCTCTGCCAAAGTGTGCTGGTGCCTCAACAAACAGTAACAACTATGATAGCAATGCATTGAGCCATTTATTTATTTATTTATTTATGTATTTATTTAGAAGTTTTCTATACCGGCCTTCTCACCCCAACGACTCAGGTCGGTTTACAACATATATGAAAGTACAATAATATATAAGTATAACAAAGTGCAAAGTCATTACATATTTAAAAAGTACAATAAAGTACAATAAAAACATCATCATCACAATTACCTAAGCCAAGTCGTCAATCCAGTCATAGTCATAGTCATATTCGTAGTCACAGTTCATCACAGTTCACCACAAGGAAGGCGGTCATAGGTTCAGTCCTCGAATGCCACATTCCAGAGCCAGGTCTTTAATAGTTTCCTGAACGTCAGGAGGGAGGGAGCAGATCTGATCTCTAGTGGGAGGGAGTTCCAAAGCCGGGGAGCCACCACCGAGAAGGCCCTGTCCCTCGTCCCCACCAACCGTGATTGCAAGGGTGGTGGGACCGAGAGCAGCCCCCCCCCCCGGAAGATCTTAATAGCCTTGATGGTTCATAGGGGAGAATCCGTTCGGACAGGTAAACTGGGCCGGAGTCGTTTAGGGCTTTATAGGTCAAAACCAGCACTTTGAATTGTGCACGGAAGCTAATCGGCAGCCAGTGGAGCTGGCGTAACAGAGGGGTCGTATGGTCTCTGTACCCCGCTCCTGTTAGCAATCTGGCTGCCGCACGTTGGACTGATTGAAGCTTCCGGGCAGTCTTCAGAGGCAACCCCACTGCCATGGCATTTAAAGTGGTGTCAAATTTATTTATTTATTTCATCTACTTATACTCCGCCCTTCTCACCCCGGGGGGGACTCAGGGCGGCTTACAGGGAAGGCACAATTAGATGCCCAAATCACACAACAAACAATACAAAATATAACAATTCAACAATTAAAATAAAACATCAATACCTAATAAAATCATACTGTATTAAAACCTAATAAAAGTCAAACTGTATTAATTCTGTGGTTCAGATGTACCCTTAGTGCTGGAATATTTGAAATATTAATAAATAATAATAATAACAACAATAATAATAACTTTATTTTTGTACCCCGCCTCCATCGTGGTGGCTTACATATGGCACAAAGTGCCTAAAACAGAGCATAAAATAAACACACAGTACAATACAATAAAGTAAAACATATAGCATATAAAATCGTAATTTAAAACTCAGAACAACACCCAGTGACCTCTGGTGACAACTATCGTAAGACATGGCCAGACTGTAAACAAGACCAAGGAATGGGATAGTGCAAATTATAGCTAAGGAACAGGGCATGAGACGAAAGTGCTGTGCTGTGTCATTGATTGTGGACCATTGGAGCTAGACATTCTCAAAGGCTTATTTAAACATTCAAGTCTTCAGATCCCTATGGAAGGAGGACAGTGTGGAGGTCTGCCTAATCTTCCAGGCATTTCAATAGTACCTCTGACTTCTGTGTAGGAGCATTTTCTTAACCAACTGAGCAGTTGCAATCATATCTATAGAATTATAGTATGAACTACATGTTTGGTTCAACTTACTACCTATTCTTTTACTGTTTCTCTTTTCAAAATAAGTGGCAGCAGTGAGGAAGCGGTGGTCTCAGATGTCATTACTCTGTGCTCAAGGAAGTTTTCTTGTTAATATAACTCCCCTTTCCCATTTCATTCCACCTAATCAGCTGCCTTGTCAAGGATGGGAAGGTAGCAATTGGTTTTGCATAGACTGACAGGTATTCTTTTCCCAGGTACTTGGAGTCACTTTTGCGCCAAGCAAGCATGGGGTGTATCGTCTTTTCACCAGCAATGAAATCCTTTGTCAGCATACCAAAGGAAGGGGAGCAAATCTTCAGTGCTGAAGAATATTCTGATGTCTCAGGTAGCTTTTCATAAATCTAGTCTTGAATATCCAGGACTGAGTTGCAGAACTATATTTGGTGTGAATTTGATACCTGAAGCAATAGTGGATATTTCTCCAAAATGACCTTGGACCTTATTGCTTTGTTGAAGTTGTGGAGTACAATAGCAAGCCTGAATTGGCTTAGGCTAATTCTAATTCTAGCTGATCAGTTTAAGCCTAAAGATGAAGTTCACACTAAAGTGTGAGAGGAGTAAGCAAGGAGAAATAGGAGCAAAAACGTAGGAATTTAGTTGAAGTAGAGGGTAACTGAGCAACCTTTTCCGAACATTTTGTGATCAGCTCCAAATTGTTTAGAATTGGAGTTTGATTAATTCTGAAGGAGTTGCTGGCAACCATACATAGACTGAAGGTCTCTCTGTTTACCTGTCTCGACTCCCAAATCTTTTAAAAATCAGGTAAGTAAAGGTACAGGTTTCCTTTTGACATGAAGTCTAGTTGATTCTGACTCTGGGGGTGATTCTCATCTCCATTTCTAAGCTGAAGAGCCGCGTTGTTCATAGATCTCTCCAAGGTCATGTGGCCGGCATGACAGCATGGAGCGCTGTTACCTTCCTGCCAGGGTGGTATCTATTGATCTACTCACATTTGCATGTTTACAAACTGCTAGGTTGGCAGAAGCTGGGGCTAACAGTGGGAGCTCACCCCACTCCCCGTATTCCAAATGCTGACCTTTCGGTCCGCAAGTTCAGCAACTCGGCAGTTTAACCCACGCCACCGGGGCTCCAAAAGTCAGTTACAAAGACTAACTATAAGATTCTGGCCTTGGGTTTGCATCTAAGACACAGAACACAAAAGGAAAACAAATTGGGAGAAAGGAGCTAGAACACATATCTAGATACTAGAGTCTTAGTTACATGGTTTGGCATGTCATGAAGCTGGTTATAACAATAGAAGGACTACTGCTCTTTTGCTCACATGGTCTTGGTAGTGATTGTTGGAAAGAGCTGGGGGCTTTACAACTGTTTTGCAGCTAATCAAGTGATAAGAATGGGAACTTGAGAATGCTTTACAGAATGCAAAAAAAAAAGAAAAGAAAAGAAAAGAAAAGCTGAGATACTCTCACTTTTTCACTTTGACTGGTTTGCTGTCTGTGAACAAAAGAGGAATCCATAAGGAAAAGTCACTAAAGATTGTCCAGGCTATGGCCAGCAGTAGTGTGCAGTTAATAATGTTGTGTTTTAAAAACAACCAAGGGAATACCTTTTTATTTCCTGCACAGAGATGCGAGCATTATCAGAACTCCTTGGACCCTATGGAATGAAGTTCTTAAGTGATAACCTCATGTGGCACGTGACCTCACAGATGGTGGAGCTAAAGGTATCAATTCAGGAATTCATGCTGTACCTCGCTGGCTTATAATTACTTGGGCACACTTTGGAAGTATACTAACAGCAGTAATCTAAGTAATGGACATTTGGAAGAGTTTCTTGGGGGAAGTGAGACTATGCTAGCATCAGCTCATATATATCAGCAGAACCAAACAATTTGCTTTGGACAATATTTTAGCTTCCCCCACGAATTCTGTGTTGGCTACACTTGACACATTCACTCACATAGTGGCAGTCTTTGATAGGACTGCTATCCTGGTGTGTATTGTGTTGGTGTCAGGGTCATAGACCTATCAGTGGAACTCTTTTAAGACCTTCTGTCTTTGATGCATCAAACAGTTGATCAAGGAATCATGAAGCAGGGAGTGGGGTCAGTATGGACCATGCATCTTTGATGCACCTTTGATATCAGTGCCTGAGCTCCAAATCAGAGCATTGTTTTTCCTCTCCCTACCATTCTCTCATAGTCATTCCCCCAATCATTTACACTCTTCTAACTTTTGCTTCTTGGGGTGAATGAGTCTTTCCATCAAGGCTTACCCACCATAAGGGGTGAGGAGAGAGAGAGAGACTTCTTCTGTAGAGGACTATGGTCCTTTAGGGAGAATGTCATGAGCCCTATTTGAACTGATCATATGCAGAAAACTTTGGTAAACTTGGCCGAGGACTACATAAGAACACATCAAGGGTCACATTCAATCCAATACATGACGAGTGTTCACCATTACTTACACCTATACAGATTTCCCAGTCAACTGTTTGAAAGTTCACATCTGGTTACATCAGGCTACATTTCTCCCACACTAGCTGCTGAGAATCCTCAACTGTCCAGTGTCTCTATGGCACGGCTTCTGCTTCTTCTGTGGTTGCCCACCTGAATCAACTCCCATGCTTTTTACCATCTTCTGGGAACAGTTATCCTATTTCTGAATCCCATTGCCCCAAACCTCATGCACTCAATGTTGGAACTGACATGCTGTTTTCTCCTGTCAAGTCGTTGATGATCTGTGTTCACTCTTGTTGGGTTTCATCCCTGGACTGTGTCAAGTTTCTAGTCCTCAATGAGTAGCTAGGCTAGAAACAGGGCTAAGCTGAGGGATTCTTTTCCCACATTCCTATGCATGTTTCCCAAAAGGGCTTTGTCTTTCCTCTTCCTGCTAGCCACTGTATCCTCCCCCTTTGATGACGTAGTAATGGAGCTCTGTGAGGGAACTTCCTCTTTAAGTTTTATTGCCCTGGGTTGACTATGTGGTCTCTCCACCATTTTCCAGTCTCATTTGCCTTTTCTTCCTTCCAGCAAGGACAAATTTTGCCTCTCTCTAGGCAAAATGTAGCTGCAAGGACTTTTTACCTTGTACCTCCTTTAGAAGATGAGATTTAGCAAGCTAGTTAGCCCCAAGACTTTTTCTATCAAGAATGTCTTTCTTTTACTTTTATAAATATTTTGGAACCTAAAGTTCTGTCTTCAATCCTGAGTCATTCTGAAGAATAGAAGCCTATCCCAGCTCACCACACGTAAGTTTCTGTTGATTGTGAAGTTTACTCCTGATGCTCTGCTATATTTTGGTGGAATCACTTCAACTGAGGGTTATTTTTGAGCCTAAAGGCTCAGCTTCCACAACAACTCTTTTCAGAATTTTCATATGTATAATTTGATTTCCCTTCCCTAGAAACTGGTCACTGAGAATATGGATGCGCTTGTTCAAATCCGGTCAAATTTCTATCAGCCAGAGCAGATGGCAGTACTATTGCCACGCCTAACATGTAAGTTCTGGTACAGATTTTGTGTAGCCCCATTTTGTTCCTTCCTTCAAAAAAACATTGGCATGTCTGAATCGGGATAGGGAGTTAAGGGTTGTTTTTGTTGTTTGCTGTCTATATCTGAACCAGCCTGATCAGTTAGGAAAATACAGAATAGTGTGATCGTATGCCTACTACATATGGCAAGCCTTAACAGTGATGGCTCTGAAAATATGGAAACTAATTTTCATAAGAGAACTGCTCTCCCCACACATTCAACCTATGTCTATTTGTATAACCTTTTGGGTACTAATGGTAGTGGTTAATTGTCAACTGCTGTTTTTATTGCCTGTGATATTTTAGCATTTTTGTGTTTATAATGCAGAATATATATTATAATGCAGCATGTACTTTTTGTCATTTTCAGAGGCATAGCTTTCTGTAATTTAGGTATTCTAAGTAATTTCCATTCTAACTAGGTGTTTGTATGTAAGAGCTCGAACTCTTGATAAAGTGCACTGTGATTTCACTAGGAAAGCAAGGTGACATGGAGACATTGTGAAGTAGGCTGTCTCAGAGCTGGAGAATGGAGAAAGGGGAAGGCAAAGGGGGACAGAAAGGAAGAAGGAGAGAAGGGGAAAAATAAAAATAAAGAAAGGATGAGAAGGGAAAGGAGAAAGGGTATGAGTGGGGGGAAGGAAGATGAAAGCAGGTGGATATCAGTCACTTTGACATCTGGACAACATCAGTCAGGCATGTAGCCAGGGGAGGGGGGCTTTGGGGGCTTCAGCTCCCCCCCCCCCCGAAATTCTCATGTTGGTCTGCGAAAAGGCCTTACTGGTACATTATTTAAACTGTTATGTTTATTCATACCATGATCTGATCACCATGCTCAATATATCTCATATGCCTGGGGGTATTGGGATAATGATACAAAAGGTTTCCTAGGGTAGACCCTCTTTCACTAAGACTCAGCCCCTCCCCCCCGAATCAATCAAACTCAGCCCCCCCCCCCCAAATCAAAATCCTGGCTACGGGCCTGACATCAGGTATATATGCTTGTGTGTGTGCGCGCATGCATATATGTGTGTGTGTGCGCGCATGCATATGTGTGTGTGTGTGTGTGTGTGTGTGTGTATATATATATATATATATATGTATATATATATATAATAGCTGTAAAATAATGTAGCTGTCTGAGCAGCAATGTTATTAGATGTCAGTTTCTAAATTACGATCTCATAACGTGAGGTCCTTTTCGGCGGATTCATTACTTTACCAATACTTTTATGATGGAGCCTGCCAGCTCCCATCCATGATGTAGAGCAACTTCCAATGAGGCGCCGTCGTACAAGCATTGTCTAAACGGCACATGCCACTATGGCAGCAAAACAAGACAATCCTCAAGTTGAATAGAAGTCAATTGGGAGAAGCCAGGTGACCGACGCTTCCCCACGTGAGATGAGGACTGAGTTGGGTGATGCAGGGCATGGAGTGACAGGTTCTCCATGCCCCCCCCCCCAATGGGTACCACCTAATTTGCCACGATGTGTGGCAATTCCGGTAGCCCATCTGATGAGGTCAATAGTACCTCAAACTGTTCCCAAATATCCAAATTGTTCCACTGAATTGCACTTTCTGTATAGAGTTGCTGATTGAGATAGGTTCAGCAATGCTTTTCTTGGGTAGCAATGAATCCCATAGGTTTGTACATCTAGAAAGGAAAAGGTTGTGGTGCCAAGAAAAAAAGTACTCATCCCCACTGCCGTGTTTTCTTCCCAGCTGTAGAAAATGTATTGAAGAGGATGACCATCATTGGGGAGATTTTGTGCTTCCGGTCCATGGCTCAGGAGGGTCTCCGAGAGGTGAATATTTTAGTGTCTCTGTGTGAATGTATGTGCAATTAGAGCTCCTGGAGCAAAGACATTTCTTTTCTCCCTTTGGCAATGGTGGAAAATGTGTGGTCCTCCAGATATTATTAGACCAAGGCTTCTGTCATCTTGCACCATTAGCAGGGCTGATGGGAGATGAAGTCCAATGATGGGTGGGCTGCAAATTGCCAGTCCTCTCCTTAGGTACTTTGCAACAGCTAGGATCTGAACTACCAAATTAGACTTTCAGGACTGTGTTTCTGAAAAAAATCCCAGGAATGTAAAAGTTTTAGTATTCCATGCAGAGCACATTAGCAGCTCTTAGCCTTCGAGGCTGTTTGCTCTGCTTTTGTCATTGGGTTAACACAACATACTGCCGGACTCCATTTGTTTGAATCCTTTGGTTTTAAAAACTGGGTAAATGAAGGAAAAATTCACTTCGTCAGATTCAGGTATACCAGCAGACCAGAGATTGGCAATCTGTGAGCCACCAAACTTTTTTGGACTGCAATTTCCATTGGCAGTTGCCATTCAACAATATTTGGAGGAACACAAGTTCCATGCCCTGTGAAAGGATGGGCCATGTAGCACTGCAGCTAATAAGAAGAATCACTGCTCTTCCATTTCATTTTATAACTTCCTGCATGCTTACTCTCACAGGTCTTCACCAATCATTGCCCTTTCCTAATGGAACCCGTCGAGTGCCTAAAGGAATTTGTCAACCCAGACATGGACATAAAGGTATATTTGTAATGTCCTTTCAATTTGCCTGGTGTGAGAAATACATGTGTTAGATAGCTTAGTTGTCTTACATGTCTTCTAAAGCCTGCAGTGAAAGTTATACTGGCTGTTTGAATGCTACTGACCTTACCCTGTTGGAGAGAAAAGGGTTGGAAATAGCAATGCAGTACAAAAATTTCTTTGTTATTGTAATATGTGAAACTTACATGGGCTTGTGGAGATGGAGAGGGAAACATTTCCTATAGCGTTACTAGGATTAGTGTCCACTTAAGGATGTGTTAGTTGTTAATTGCTTAATCAAATCTGCATAGATTTACATTAGAGAAAACAAAGTTGTTTTGAAGAGAGAATAATACAAACATAAAAGCCACCAAGGTTTCTTTTGTCCAGCAGTCTGTGCTGGGAAAGGAGCCGCGGTGGTGCAATGGATTAAAACCTTGTGCCGGCCGAGCTGCTGACCTGAAGGGGTGAGCTCCCATTTGTCAGCTCCAGCTTCCCATGAACTGCTGACCTGAAACATGAGTGAGGGACATGAGAGAAACCTCCCACAGGTTGGGAAATGAGCCGTGGTGCCGCAGTGGGTTAAACCCTTGTGCCAGCTGAACTGCTGACCTGAAGGTTGGTGGTTCAAAACTGTGAGGCGGGGTGAGCTCCCGTCTGTCAGCTCCAGCTTCCCATGAGGGGACATGAGAGAAACCTCCCACAGGTTGGGAAAGGAGCCATGTGGTGCAATGGGTTTATTTATTTATTTAAAGCATTTATATTCCGCCCTTCTCAACCTGAAGGACCTCAGGACGGAGCACAACATATAAACAGCAAACATTCAAAGCCGAAACATATTAGACCATACACATACAAAACCCTTGTGGCAGCTGAACTGCGGGGACATGAGAGAAGCCTCCCACAGGATGGTAAAACATCCGAGCGTCCACTGGGCAATGTACTTGAAGATGGCCAATTCTCTCACATCAGAAGCAACTTGCAATATCTCAAGTTGCTCCTGACATGATTTTAGAAAAGACCATAAGCAAGAGGTGAGTGCACCAGCACCCTTTGACCCATGATCCTTAGTAATTGGTACTTCTGATAAATAAACTGATTCTGATAGTGGAGATAACTATAGTTCCCATGATTCCATAGCATTGAACCATGCATTCATTCTACAATATTGATTCACCCCAGGTCTAAACCCCTTTCAATGTTGTCCAAATTAGCAGCTGTGATAGCTAATTTCATTGTTTAATTATATGACACACTGCCTGTTATTAGTCCCAAATTTCCAACTGTTCACTTTCATTTATCCCTGCTTCTATTAGTATGAAAGCAAGAGAAAAATGTCTCTGTCCTTTCTCTGCATCATTTTATATGCCTTTTTTTGTATGATTCCCTTTTACTAGCTATTTTCTTCTAAGTTAAAAAAAATCCCAAATACTGTAAATTTTCTCTAAAATGAAATTTGTCGTTTTGCTTGCCCTTTCCTTCACATTTACCATGAGGGACCCCATGATGGCGCAATGAGTTAAACCCTTGTGCTGGCAGGACTGCTGACCAAAAGGTCGGCGGTTTGAATCCGGGGAGTGGGATGAGCTCTCATCTGTCAGCTCCAGCTTCTCATGCAGGGACATGAGAGAAGCCTTCCACAGGATACTAAAACATCTGGGAATCCCCTGGGCAATGTCCTTGCAGACAGCCAGTTGTCTTACACCAGAAGTAACTCGCCGTTTTTCAAGTCGCTCCTGACATACACACACAAAAAAAACCAGTACCTGAGATCTCTTCCTCCTCTTCTTCCTCCTGCATCCTCCTCTTCTTCCTCCTCTTCTCCTGTTCCTTCACATCTACTCCAACTAGAATTGTAAACAGAATGTTATGTGTGGGTGCATTATAATTCTTAAGGTATTAATGATACGGCATTTTTACTTTTGATCCCTTTTTGTTAAATCCTTAAAATGGCAGGATCCCTTCTTTGAGTGAACAGTTAATTGCACTTTTGTTGTGGAAATAGTAGCCCCAGGGAAGCTTGATCAGCTCTTGCCAATGGGGAGGGAGAAGTTCAAATCTTCCACTACCTGCCAAGATTGCAATAATAATTGCCTCTCCTCAGGTGCTATTTGCATTTCAAGGGAAGCTCCCTTTGGTGCAAATGGGATCAGTGGGAGGATGTTCTTCCCTCCGGATTATTGAAGGAAGATGAGCCCACATGCCGGGAAATACATTTGCATGCAAACATACACATGTGCATTTATTTACATATCTCTTGGTTTTTATGATGAGTGTGTATATTGCTACTGACATCACAGGGCTAAAGTTGATATGAGAGAATTCGTGATTGCTTGAATGGCTCAAAACAGTTTATGGCTGAAGAATCATAGAATTATAAACAGACCACAAAGGCCATCCAGTGCCACTTCCCTGCCATATAGCAACACACAATCAAAGCACCCTCGAGAGATGCCCATCTAACCTTTGAAGAGTCTAATCTAGATTGGGATCCTGCTATGTGGGGAACTTACTTTTTTGTTCACCTTCTTGCCTTCTGTTTACATTGGGAAAAGGGCTTCCGTGAGGGCCAAAGGAAGTTATTTTACCATTGTAAATAACAAGATGTTGGGAGGATGCAGCAATATTTTTTGTAAGAAACATTGGAGTGGAAAAGTTAGAGCCCCAGTGCCACCACATGAATAATTTGTAATAAGTTATGCATCCAAAGAGATATTTTCTGCAGTTTGTGGACCTTTCTGCTCCTAATTATTATAATGTAACTTTAAGTCCACTCCGACTTGTGATTCTGTTGTGGTGTTTTCTTGGAATGATTTATTCCAAGGGTGTTTGCCATGACCTTCCTCTGAAGTTGAGGGAGTGTGACTTTCCTAGGTGACTTTGAGGACCCCTGTACTAGAGTATGAAACCTACTGGGTGACTTTCCTAGAGTCATCCAGTAGGTTTCATACTCTAGTACAGGGGTCCTCAAACTAAGGCCCGGGGGCTGGATATGGCCCTCCAAAGTAATTTACCCGGCCCTTGCTTAGGGTCAACCTAAGTTTGAAATGACTTGAAAGCACACAACAACAACAACAACCCTATCTCATCAGCCAAAAGTAGGCCCACACTTCCTATTGAAATACTAATAAGTTTATATTTGTTAAAATTGTTCTTCATTTTAATTATTGTATTGTTTTAAAGTATTTTTGCACTACAAATAAGATATGTGCAGCATGCATAGGAATTCATTCATGTTTTCTTCAAATTATAATCCGCCCCTCCGACAGTTGAGGGACTGTGACCTGGCCTTCTGTTTAAAAAGAGTAAGGACCCCTGGTCTAGTCTCTCACCACCTCAGTGCAGTGGGTTAAACCCCTGTGCCGGCAGGACTGAAGACCCAACAGGTCGCAGGTTCGAATCTGGGGAGAGCATGGATGAGTTCCCTCTATCATCTCCAGCTCCTCATGCGGGGACATGAGAGAAGCCTCCTACAAGGATGATAAAACATCAAAAACATCCAGCCGTCCCCTGGGGAACGTCCTTGCAGACGGCCAACTCTCTCACACCAGAAATGACTTGCAGTTTCTCAAGTTGCTCCTGACATGACAAAAAAAGTGTGTATCACTCTAACTATTATCCCACAAGGCCATTCAATAATCACAGTGGCAGATTGCAACGTTTACACTTGCCTCAAACAGACAAGAGTTCTTTCTCCCACCCTGGACATTCCACAGATATATACATCTCACTTGCCTAGTTTCCAACAGACCTCACAACCTCTGAGGATGCCCACCATAGATGTGGATGAAACATCAGGAGAGAATGCTTCTGGAACATGGTCATACAGCCTGGAAAACTCATGTTGTTGTTCATTCGTTCAGTCGTCTCCGACTCTTAACAACCCTGTTATACCACACTTTCATAGCAACCCTTTATACCACACTTTCTTCAGGACTAAAAAAAAAGAAAAAGAAATATACATTGCAGACCTTCTAATTAAAATTAAAACCATGAAACCTTTGCCTGAATGACATTGAACCTCTGCAGTTGTATCTGTGGGCTGCTCTTATGCATGCTTAATGATTAAACTTCAAGGCAACACTTATGCAGAACTCAATGACTTTTAAAGTAGTACAAGGAGTGCCAGAATGCTGGGGAGGCTCTGCGCCAGAGTGTGGTGAATCCATTGCCCCTTGGCTGTTAGATTTCAACCCAGTTGCAGTGACAAAAGACTAAGGATACATGCTGTGTTATTGTTGTCTTTACATACTCTGTATGGCTGGACAGTTACTTCAGCATGGCAATTGCTGCAAACAGTCAGGAAAGAAAGAGGAGCAGATAATATAAGTGCATCCCTCTACATCCCCCACCCCCGCCCCACTTTCCCTGCTGCCTCTGCCACCAGCACTGCAAAGCTATGTCTGTCTTGTTTTATTTCTTTCCATGCTGCTAAGGTGACAGTGTGGCTTTTTTCCCTTCATATCTTATCTCCCAGGGTGCTGATTATTTTGTGACATGCAGTGACTTACCTCATCCATGTGATTCTGTGGTGACAATGACACCATACCTTTGAGAATTTCTTGAGCATTGTGTTTTGGTGTGTGTTATGCTGGTGCATCCTTTACCCCCTGCAGTTAAGATCTGCATTCTTTGGATTAAGGAAATCTCTGTTTTGTGGCCCATCCATGAAAGGTATTCCTGCAAGGATAAGCAATGTCCTCTTTCCTGTTTGATTTTGCTGGGAGTGTATTTCCATAAGTTGTTCAGTTTCAGTAAAGCAACCATTTGTAATTGTAGCACCACATCACTCTTCATATTTTTTTGTTTGCTTTCCAAAGTCTCAGGTTCTTCTTGATTCTTTTAAAATGACAATGCCAGAAACTGAGTCTCGGACTAGCTGCATGCAAAACAGATTTTTCTTGACAGATCCTTGCCATAACAATGCTGATTGTGTATTATCGAAAGCTTTCATGGCCAGAATCACTGAGTTGTGTTGTACATTTTCTGGGCTGTATGGC